TCGGGACACAACTATGACTTGTTCTCACTGAGCTGACACATTGCTGAGTTCATGGATGGAATGAACATACTCGATAATAGCGGGGGATGTTATCACCGCCGAATTTCACGACAACAAGGGAATGTTATATGTACCACAGAAATATGCTAATTTTGTGTGCCTTGTAAGTTTGTGTATATTGTGGAGCTTAAATCTGATGCAATTGAGCCGAATTTTGCCTCGATTAGTGTCCCCTAACTGCCGGACTGTGGTTCGAAGGATAAAGACGTCTGAATGGATGCGCTTGTTGACTTGACGAACAGCCGACCTCAAGGGCTTTTGTGTTGCTTCTTTGTCCTTCCCCAACCCTTAGTATGATATATATTATATTATCTATTTATACTGTATTATTGTGGTGTATAATGTCTAATATCTTTTTCTTGTATTGCGGATGAGATGTATTTATCACCCTTGGCTAACGTGTATTGATGATGATGATGATGATTTTGGCTGATGGGTTGTGACTAGTGTCAAGACCATGCATATGGATCCGCTGTCTATTTTGAAGAGGGCGCAGAAATATTTGTCAAGCATTTCACTAGTTTAGGAATGGTCTGTTACGTTGCAGCCAGCTGATACTGTGAGATTGTGCGTTGATTCCGTTTCGCTCATTAAATGACCCATCAGTTCACGCTTTTTGAACCGACTGTCATAGACCCCTTTTTCCCCAGCGCTTTGTCCGGTGTGATAGGTCGGTTTCCGATACGTGGCCAACTTATGGGTTGCATTATGCATGAGAAATTACTCGTTTTGCGGTAGGCATTCGGTATAGCTTTTTGAGTTTAGTGATCGTTTTACGTGAAACATTCTTCGCTACGTGGGGAAAAATGTCTACGTTTGATAGGATCCAGTATGTGTTAACAGAGAATAATGTTGTTATAGAGAGCTTTCGGCTGCGACTTGCGAGTCGTCGACGAGGAAGAAAATGTTTCACTGAGCATGCCTGAGTAAAGTAGCAAGATTTACAATCTATTGATTTACAATGTCTTGAGAGCGTTTGTGACTTGGGTGCAGTCGTTATTGAAATTTGGACGTTATCTGCGACTATATATGAGACTATCTTATGGTGTCTACCTGTCTATTACCTACTACCTCGTCCATACTGTCTCCAGGAGACAGTTGGTCGTTGCTGGAGGGGACGGGGTGCACGGTCCCTGTGGTCGTCTTAGGATCAAAGAATGGTTCCATGCACTCAGTGTGAAGCGGACTACGGTCCAGCCACCGCCTTATGTGCGCTTCATTCCCCAAATACATTGTGGTAGTGTTTGCCTGTGAAGGAGTGTGGGCCGGCTCCGTTGATGAAACTTGGCTTCCATCCACATGCCTCCCGGTCTTATTCCTTCGGGTTTACACTGGATATGGGGTATGTGGTTGGAGCTGTGGGTGGTGCAGCGCAAGCCACTCATGGTCCCTCTGTAGGTGTAGACGTCCTGTGGCTGGCCACAGTGACAGGCAAATCCGAAACCGGATGCCGCCAACCATCTTATGGTCACTTCCTGGAAAGTGTTCCAGAACGTCCGTGGAATGTGGCATTGCACCAATGATTAATATCAACTCCAAGATATTCTTTCTGGTGGGAATTGTAGCATACTGTATTCGTCCATATATATATATATATATATATATATATAAGGATGAAAGCAAATCTATTTTCCTGCTTGGCGCATGGCTTATAATCCACGAGGCGTCCTGTATGCTGAAATCTTCATCTATCATTTTGTACTTTGTCAATTGATCTGCTGCGTCACAGAAAAGTCTTTACAATGTATTTGTTTCTGCAAAAGGAATTTGAGTGCGCTATATGCACGCAAGGATAAAAGGTTGTTATTCAGTTGCACCTTTACAGAAACAGAGTCCTGAGGGCACTTATGTATGGGAACATTTGCTGATGAAGCACGCAATGTATTGTGTGTGTGTGTGTGTGTGTGCTGAGCCATGAATATCGGCGGCGGATCATCGTGACTGATTTCTGACTGTGATATGTCGCTGCTCCTCCTTTATTGTCTTGCATGTTGTGATCATGCAGAAGACAACGCTGGCCGAGAGCTACAACTACCTTTGCAAGCTGCCTGTACTACTGGTAGCAGTTGATTTTGCTTAATCAATACCAGTTGTCATTTGTGATGAGCGTCTATCCCAAAGTAATCTTTAGTGCACTGTTTAGTTTCATGATGTGCGTTTTGTCACTTGCCTTGTTTATGTCATCTTCATTTCGGATCCCATGGATTAGTTCTGAAAGGCGCTGATTTAATTTTTCTTTGCTGACTTCGGAGTTACAATCGGTGGTAACATAAAATAGGCTTTTGATGGGATTCTATATCGAAACTCTTATCTACGGCCATTCACTATAGGGGTTATTCACCTATATTATCTTCAGCCTTCTGATCGAGTTCAGCGTCAACTTCGTAAAGCACTGCTACCGATTTAATCGGTGTCGTCTAGGACACCAAGAATATGGCCATCGCCACTTGTAGTCAGTGCTCTGCTAAAACGCTGCAATCTTGTGTGCGTGTCACGATAATACCATTCGACTGCGTATTTCGCTTTCCTTCGGGTTTCGGCTAATTCGCCTGGATCACAGTTCCGCGAGAAGCAAGTACATCTCAGAAAGGAACCGTCATCTTTGGCAATTTTGAGATCATTTGCATATATTTTCGTCCATTTCGGATGATGCTTTTGTGCTCACAGTCGATCGTACCGGTTTCAGTCGTATTGCGTCCTGTCGGCCAAGGGAAGCTTAATTTGAACAGGCGTACCTTCAGATGTAATCCATATTTCTAGTATTCTTCACTCACTGGACTGTACTTTCAACGAATGTGCTTTTATCTTCCATGGATACACTTCGCGAAGCGTGGATCGTGGTTCTCTCTCCGATTTCTCGAGACTGCTTGTCCGAACTTCAACCATGGCCGGTCCCGTAGGACTTACTGTACAGGCACCGCAGTAGTACCACTCACTAGCCGAATCTACATTGAGGATATGTAAACTATCACATCTTGTTGGAACTCGGTCCCTTTGCTTCTACTTCTTGACGTCTTCATCTGATGTTCATACCCTTTCATTTTGTCATTCGTGAATCGTGTTAATCGGATTGATCGCATTTCATCGCGCAAGCTATGGTTAGGCGCTCGTTTCATGCACTGTATGGAATTCTCTTGAGGTCAATAGCCAAAGCAAACAACGATTGATTTCGTTTAATGCAATCCTCTTGCAGCTGCTGGACTGCGAATGCTACGTCACCTGAGAGGATCGAAATCTGTTAAGAATTCGAAAAGCGGGTCGAAAAGGCTTGGATCTCTGCTCGCTCTCTGGAGCTGTACGACCGCTGCAGAGATGTCCCGGCAGAATGAGATTACGAGAGTTGCCGCTGTCAACCGGCAGCTGAAGCAAAACCTGCGCAAGGGTCGCAGTGCTTTGTGGTCCAAATATGCTTTGGAGATGAAGACCGCAACTCTCTCTGGCAACACTCGCACGTTTGTCCAGCTCATTCTGTTCACTGGCCTCAGGAAGTCTGGCGACAATAGGTTATCTGCGTGGCGGATGGGTCTCGGATCACCAATCATCGAAGGTGTTTGGACTGCTTGGACCGAACATTTTCGTTTGCAATTCAACTGGCCTCCACTGTCAGTGCACGCAGTACTCCTTGTCCGCGTGACTCGTCCCACTGCATCCACTCATTGAAGCAGGAGTCTACCTAGAGATTCGACGCTTGAAACGATTAATCATAAAACAATGTGTCAGCTGTACGCCGTAACGGCGGTTCCCTGCCATGCGACCATCAGCAATCGCGCGTGGGCTGAGTATATCCCGGGAACGCTTGCCTTTACATGGACTCGAACCGGTAACCTTATGATTGCAAGCTAGGCGTGCAGACCACTATTCCACTGATCGATTCAATGCTGTTGACTCAGACAGACTTCCTCCGGGACTGTTCAGGTACGGCGGCGTAGCAGTGATTAATTTGTTAATCTTCTTGTATGCAACAATCTGTCATGAAGAGAGTGCGTTTCTCCTTGGGCGCATCAGTTATTGTTCCGAGTTTCAAGAAAGGCGCTCGCACATCATGTTCCAACCATCGAGGGATTGGTCTAATTTTGTTGCCTTCAAGCTATTGGCATTCATTTGCTTCTTAGACTATCCTTAATCATACTACCGTGAAGAATGAGCTGCTTTCTGTCTTGGGTGTGGACGCATTGACCAAATCTTCACCTACGCTAACTCAAACACCGCCACATTTACCACAGGCCCAGTATTGCCACATTCCTAGACAAATGGGCTGCACTTAACTTTGTTGATTGATTTGCTCTATGGCGCTGCTTGCTAACGAACGGGGCGCCAGAGAAGCTGTCATGTCGAGAGTTCTAGAAGGTTTCCAAGATATTTGCGTAGAGCTTCTACCGGGCGAGCGCACGACCGACTTAGACTTTGCTGATAATATTGCCTTACTTGGTGACGATCCACAGAGTATGCAACTCATTCTGGATCGTTTGGCCGTCGAGGCATCATGCAATATCGACCACAGTGCAATCGCAGAAGGGTCGTTCTAACTAACTTTGCCTGTTTCCACTTACCCACTGTCTGGCACCGTCCACTGACCGCATTGGCTTTTCTCATACTATATCCCTCCTAGATACTTCAGCTATGCTATCAGGATGTAATGTACAGAACCGATTGGTAGCTCCGCGTTCAACCTCACATCGAGACATTGTTCAAGAGCATATACGTGCATTGACTGTAAGTTTCGCGCACAAGGAGTTCGAGCATAACTTTCAATCATTTGTATAGGGCTTCCGCCGGACGCCATGCCGTTTTCCAAGAAGAGCGAATGTTTGTTGCTTATCAGTTTGTTTGAATTCCCGTAACCAATGTAAACAACTCTCTCTCTCAAGTTGATCTGTTAGGCATATTCTCCGATTACTCAGCATATCCCTTCCATTTGTTTTTTGTTGTTGTTGTTCTAGGTTTGTTTTTCTGGTCCAACTATCCAACTATTCGCCGCATGTTGGAGATGGTAATCACTGGGTAAGTGATTTTGTAGTCCGTTAATGCTTCGCCTTAGCTGAACCTGTCCTCATTCTCAATCCTTTGCATCTCTTGACGAACTATTCACCTGGAGGCGTTTTGCTCGTATTCCTCAATGGGTGTCTAGACTTTCAAGACTGCGCTTTTTATTCGTTGTTGCTTATTGTTTCACCACATGCCTCATTATCTGCAGACTACCCGTAATGGTTTCGATATAGAGTCCTATTGATTACAGTTCTTCTCACACACGTTCTCCTCATCTTCCACCGTTACCATTAGTTTAGAAAACTTACCCTTTTCATCCCCTGTTGCTGTAATGCGCCAAGGTGATAAATGTGGTGCGACATAACATCCTTACACTATTTTTCAACTTATCCTTCCTCTGCCTACGGTCAGTTTTTCTACTACCACACCGACGCTCGTTCACATGACCGACAACAATCAGCTCACTGATTTTCCCCTATTTTCATCATCCTTTTGCTGCTATTCTTATTCAGCGACTTCGCCTGTTCTCCGGACTCCATCCTCCTCGAAAGGGATAGTAGTGTCTTCGAATCTGAGAAGTTGGTAAGTTGGTCGTGCTTCAGTCGTAACTGTTTTGCATACCTTCAGTTGGGTTATATGCGTTGATTAACCACGTCCTCTTTTTCTTCGTTCGTCAGAATGCTGAAATCGAGTTGCAGCTAATCATCCGCCTGGAAACATTAATGCTCAATCCCACTTCGGACGATGGTGGTTCCCAGCCTTCTGTAACCGTGACTCCGAAGACTTCAAAACTGTTAGGGAGGCTAGTACGAAATAATCCTCGCGGTCCTTGCCGAATTCCGCCTCCAGATCAGTTAACTACATTGCAGTATGTAGCCGAGAAACTAAATCTTGGAAGAAAGTTATGGTGTAGCCGTGAACCGGATTTTCTACTAGAATTGATCAGGATGCGCTGTGAGTAATCGTTATGCTACACTCGCCTTAGATCATTTTATGCTATTTTTTGGATTGTGAATGTGTCCATCCCCTCAAGATGCTGCGACTGAGAAAACCAGTGAACCCTAACTGCCTCATCCTAAAGATATTTCCCTCTTTTGTGCCTGCATGGCTACTTTCGGTTGCGATTCCAAGTGGTCTTGACTCTATATAGTTGCATCATTTGACAACTTAATCGGTGATGCACTCCATTTGGCTTACTGTTTTTGCTATGCAGCAATTCGCATGGGGTATATATATATATATATATATATATATGCTTGGATATTAATCTGGCCATGTGCTTTATTTCTTCTGTTCTCATTCCAGTGAACCAATATTGTCATGTGTCTGATAAAACAACCATTAAACTCAAAAAGTTGCTAACAGCATATTGTAAAACAAATAACTTTCTTGGCACAACACCAACTCCAAAACTGGCATGTCATAACAAAAAGATCGTTACTGAGAAGGACCTTCTGAAGCCACCATAAAATTCGCGATGTTGTCATCATTTTAGAAAGTAGGAATATTAAACGGAATCAAGACACGATATCACTGCAGATAACCACATAATCACTGACCTAGCCCACACCAGTGAAATCTTTAGTCAGTACTTCTGCGCCTCCTTTAACATTTATACTCACCCTTCAAGATTGGATATACCACCATCAGCACTTTATCAACTCATGCGTGTCAAGTTTGCACTGCGTGACATGCAAAAGCTTGTACAATACACAAAACTATCCTTCTTCGGCGGACCAAATAATGTAACTCCCGCACTTATCAAACTCGGGGTGTCGACATACCCCTGTTTCTATTGCATATGTTCATCATATCCATGAACTCTGGCACTGTACCAACACTACGGAAAGAAGCCATTGTCATACCGCGACACAAATCAGACTCTCTGTTCGAAACAAAGAATTATCGCCCAACAACTCATACATCCATCTTATCCAAATTGATGGAGCAACATCGGTCGACTTCTTATTGTCTCGTAAGTTACTCAACGACTCTACACGGTCTTCTGAATGCTCGTTCGTGCATAACGTGCCAACTTGAATTTCTACATCATCTGACTGCCTCACAGGGTAACGGCAATACTGCAATCGTTATTTACCTGGATGTGCACAAAGCTTTCGATCGAGTGCCACATAAAAAACTACTATCCAAATTTATGACGTATGGAATCGGGGAACCCCTGCTTTCGTGGTCCAAATCGTATCTTGTTCATTTGTTCTCCGAGCTTGGCGGTTTTCTCGCAAACGTTTCACCACCATGCGAGGTGGCATCCTCGCATGGTGGTGAAACGTTTGCGAGAATACCGCCAAGCTCGGAGAACAAATGAACAATTGATTCATCAACCCGAGCTACCAGTATTTCGAAACATTTTAAATCGTATCTTACAAATCGAACGCAGGTGGTGCAGATTCGGGAACAAAAATCTGAACGAAAAGCAGTCACAAGTGGTGTAGTACAGGGTAGTGTCCTTGCTCCTATACTAATTAACTAATTGGTATATTCTCAGCTAGCTGAGACAGCCCAGCTAAGCTGGTCCGATCAAAAGTACAAAGGAAATGCAGAATGCTTTTACAAAATGTGGGTTCCAATTCCGTTGATTCTTGCGTCATTGATTTTGTTTCGAAATTTATTGGAATCCACGACAGTTGCAAAACTTCAGGTACCTTCAGGCGGATAGTTGGGGAAGGAAACCTAAATAACAAACTTTTAGGTGAGTGACAATATGTACATGGAAAGAATTTATAAGAATTCATAACATTGGTATATAACAATAATTTATAAATATTGGAAATTTTTGAGCAGACACGATAACACGATAGACGGTAGAACTGAGAACTGCATCCATCATGAAACGAATCAATTAGAACTAACGATGTACCTCACAAGAGGTAAGATGTGATAACACAGGGCAAGTGGAATTGCGTACATAAATTTGGTGGGTTAGTTGCGGCCATCAACAATTCACCCTTTCAGTGGGTCCATGTCTTGCAGGTACGCATACCTTTCACCTAGTTGTGTAATAGAAAGGAAGCACTATATGAAGTCTAAAGAAAAAACTTATCCAACCCACCAATGTGCGCATGTTTTTCAAATGCCATCAGTGGGTCTTCAAGCACAGTGAGGAGCTGTTTAGATGAAGAGAAAATCAAAGATAACTCTTATCTAACCAATTGATCGATGTGCCCATGTTTTCATAGGTCACCAATGGGCCATCGATCTGAGTAACACGAAGTATATAGCAGTATAGACTAACATAAAATCAGAGAAACACCTCATTTATCCAACCTATCGATGTATCAATATTTTCATAGGCCACCAGTGAGTCATCGATTTGAGTAATACCGAAGGATCTGACAAAGTAGGGGGAAGGAATGCGAGACAAATCTAAGTTATCTAGCTGGAAAAATTCATCATTCCATGCGAAAACAAGCATTAAGGTGGAACCAAGCATCCATAGCACATGATGCTGCATATAGATATAGAAAATTTCGTGGAAGATCCGACACCCCAGTTTTCCAGGGAAACTAGGTCACTTTGGATCGCTCTTCTGAGATTTCGGTCAAGATAGTCCAGATGGTTTCGAAAATGTCTAAATCTTGCAATGATTTTCTCTGTTACACCAGATCGTTGGAAAAATTGGAATCTGAAACATAACCTAATCGTATTCCGTGACGTTATGCACAAGAAAACGCATATTTCCAACCTTAACATTGCAATCACCATCATACAACACACGAAATAAGAAACATTCAGTAGTGGAATGCAAGTCGAAGACCACCAGATCCGCTAACTTTTTCCTTAACAGATATGCACGAATCTGGAAAAGACCGCCAACCAATACCCGTGCTAGCAATTCAGAGCAGGAATTTCAAAAAACGACCAGCAAATACTTGACCGTGCAAAATGTGATCCAAACAACCCGAGCTGGCGTCAGCCGTGAACCACTAGGCTCTGATTTCCACCCCAGCTCAGGCTGTCTCCACCTGATGAGTCCAAACCAGGACGAAACTCTGGTCGTGGGGTGCCAGTGTTGGGATGAGCAACACCAAAGTATTTCTATTGTGGTCGGAATGACCGAGGTCCACCTCAAATGAACCGAGGTCTCAATAGATGTTGCTTGTAGCAACCCAAGCACACATTGGATTCTCCAACTCCAACTTTGAAGGTCCAAGATTTATATGATCCGGAAACCAATCTACAACCCATAGCGAATTTTGCAACAATAATGTCTCTTTACTCATCGTCTTCATCTTCCTTCTTCTTACTTATTCCAATGCCAAAGCTGCCACCAACAGGTGTTTTATGAGGGAGGAATTCATTCAAACACCTCCACATTCCTCATCTTCATTGTAGACGTTCCTATTACTTTATATTGTAGTTTAGTCTTACGTTTATCTATTATAGGTGCTCCTCTTCCTTCAGTTTCATCTGAGTGCCACTAACGGAATTCGATACTGCTGAATGACCATGAAAAAGCAGCCACCAAATGTGCTAAACGAAAATTGACACCTTGTTTATACATTTTGGTATTACTATTCTCAAATGACCTACTAAACCCTGCATTGACATCCTGTACAGCCTCAGGTAACACATTACAATAACAGGCAACTCTGTTACCCTATCAAAATTGGAGAAAGGGTTTTCATTATTGTTGTACATTTTTTAATCATTCGTGGTCATTGATGTAGCATATGTTTTATTTACCTGAACATGTCGTCACAGGCGTGTCTCGCCAAAAACAAGATGCAATTTATATACTAATCACTTGAACTTTATATTTCGCCTTTTCCTTTTTGGTTGTGCACAGCATTTCCCGTCGTTGTACAGCCGTGGCTTATCCGTATGGTTGAATCTAGCGGACCGGACCTCGAAATGCTTCCTGTTCAATGCCTGTGCGAATACTTTCTCAATGTCAACATTTCGAAACTACAAACCATTCACAAAGATTTTTTACCATCGCTGACTGTTGACGCCCATGCTTCGGATTCGCGCTGGTTCCGTGACACCAGGAACGGTAGGTCTCTTTCAGATGTGTGTTAAAAGTGCTTTGGAATGGAATGTTCACTGCAAATGACACCCGAATTGATCAACTAATTGTGCATTACCTTTCAATGTCGTTAGTACTTTACTATCTAGTTTCATGCAACTTTGTACGGTACACATCATCATTGCATATTCATCAAACTGCTTTTCACTCTTCACACATTCCCTCTTCATACAATGCGAGTTAGTCTACAATTAATTGCACTAACGTCTGCACTAGTTCCCTAAACTATTTATCGTAGCACAAACAGATTCTAAGTTTTCGGCTATAAGCGTTCGGTAGTGCTGCCTTTGCTACTGTTTTTTTACCCGAAAAGGAACGCTTTCTAATTGCTCAGATATGATCAGATGGATAGCGCCTTTTACCTATTGCTGTCTACATACAATCACCTTTGGCCACCGGCCGAAGCCATGAGGTGCATCCAAGGAGCTGATTGTGCCGATGGCTCTTCCTTCATCCCAATCACTCTTGTTTCAGTCCACAGACTGCGGTTTCCATTTCACTTATGCACACTTATTTCTTTACTGTTATTCACTTTAGTGTTTTGTTTTTATTTTGTGGACAACCGTGTATATCCACACGCTACCTGGACGATGCGATAACACCAGATGTCTCTGACTCCTATGTTATCTCTCGGCGATTTATTTTCAGCGATGCTTTTTAGCTCAAAGGAAGCGTCGCATGCTTCAGAGCCTACTAATGAGAAACTTGGGGGTCACCTTATCAACAGGCTTCGTGAAGAAATACGCACTTTCGGGAACACAGTTGCCTCTGACGCTTTGTTACATTCGTTCTTTACTCGTCTATGTGATTCACACAGCTTGGTCCGCCGAGCCGCACGCCAAGTAAGTTTGCTGTGATCGAACTTGCTTGATCTACTCTTCTACTAATCCCATTGCCACTCTTGTTTTACTCTTTCCTCCACACTTTATGATTCTAGTTCTTTTGAACGCCTAAATCGACTAATTTTATGTGGTTATCTTGATTAAATGCGTGGTTCTTAGTTGGTCTCGTGCCTTTTATCCATTATCTTGGTTGTGCTTATCGATGACGCTTGCTACTCTTTGTGATCTACGTTTAGTTGACATCGCTTCGGTAACATCAACTCGTTCAGTTGGCATCAATATTTTAAAACTAACTTTAGCTTTGTTATCATCCGTCTTTTGTATGAGAATATCCTTTCCTTTCACTCATGTTTCTGTGACGTCTTTTTGTCGCCTCGTTCAGTGTCTGCATCTTCTAGTTGATTCCGAATCCACACCAGCCTCCAGTAATATTCTCGATTCGGTCAGCACTTGGCTTCACGCTCTTCAACGACTGCGTTATTTGCCAATTCTTCGGAACGAGCCGTCCCTTGACAGTATTGGCTACGAGAATAATGCCAAGCCTTTCCAACATTTGTTAATGACTGTTTTATCGGCACTATTGGTGGAAAATGATTTGGATATTTTAAGTGGCTACGTGATCTTCCTCAGTCAGGTCACTCTATCTCCGTCGTTCATTGTAAGTTTCACATCCCATATAAATTTACTAGTATCACCTTTTCCATGGTACTTTGGTTTCCTGCCCATTGTGCTGCTTGCTTGGGAGAGCCCCGGTTAATGTCACCTTCGTATTATCAGCCATCCGACCACATCCTCAGACAGTGACTGCAGTTATCATGCTACAAACGCAAACCAGCTTCCCCAACATCTTACGCTGTAATACACTTTCCAATTTTATCCCTGCTGTGCAACAGTTCTGGTATCAGATTCATCGCGTATTCCCATCTAATACTCAGTCAACAGGAAGAACCCAAAAAACTACTTGAAAAGTTCGGAAACACGAATGACTTCTCACTGACTTTATAACTGGACCTATTTATCATCATTGTCAAACCTGTGCAGTTAACTCGGCGGAAAAATGAAGAATATATAGTTCTGCAGACAAAGTGCAAGGTGAGAGGCGCTTGTCAAAACACTACATCGTAGAACCAATGATCACTTTGCTTAATGAAGTAGTCAACGGTGAGGGACGCTTCATGATCTATCTGCAATCTGTACAACAATCACTTCCAAGTGAGGTTTGATTGTGACACGCTATATATATATATATATATATATATATATATATATATATATATATATATATCTATATATGCCTCCCGGTCTTATTCTTTCGGGTTTACACTGGATATGAGGTGTGTGGTTGGAGCCGTGGGTGGTGCAGCGCAAGCCACCCATGGTCCCTCTATAGGCGCAGGCGTCCTGTGGCTGGCCACAGTGACAGACAAATCCGAAACCGGATGCCGCCAACCATATATATATATATATATATATATATATATATATATATATATATATATGGTTGGCGGCATCCGGTTTCGGATTTGTCTGTCACTGTGGCCAGCCACAGGACGCCTGCGCCTATAGAGGGACCATGGGTGGCTTGCGCTGCACCACCCACGGCTCCAACCACACACCTCATATCCAGTGTAAACCCGAAAGAATAAGACCGGGAGGCATGTGGATGGGAGCCACGTTTCATCAACGGAGCCGGCCCACACTCCTTCACAGGCAAGCACAAGCCCGCTGTATTTGGGGAATCAAGCGCACACAAGGCGGTGGCTGGACCGTAGCCCGCTGCACACTGAGTGCATGGAACCACTCTTCGAGCCTAGCACGACCACAAGGATCGTGCACCCCGTCCCCTCCAGCAACGACCAACTGTCTCCTGGAGACAGTATGAACGAGATAGTGGGTCATAGACAGGTAGGCACCTTGTCAACATGCACATCAAGCGCAGCCACATCGGGGATATCAAGCAACAGCGATTCACTTTAACCGACAAGCTGAAGTAAAATAAATCCAATAATGCATACAGATACGGTGGCATGACTCTTCCCTAAATTACCATATGTAAGTTGGATAGCAACGAATCCGCGATAAGTAAGAAATGTCCACAAGTTACTTAAAAATGCTACAAACGCAACAAAGTTACCGAAGATAAGCGCAATTAGCGTAAGCAACGTGGCCAGTTAATGGAACGTTAGTCAGGTAGGCTGAACAAACCAAATAAAGTGGAATGAAATGTATCCAGCTTAAAAAGACCTAGTTTAAGTGTAAGTTGGTTTAGCCCAACTGCGGTGTAGAAGCATCAAGAATGCAACATCAGCCTCAGCATGGGGCATATATATATACATATATATATATATATATATATATATATATATATTGGCAGAGTGCCACCACGTATGGGCAAAGATAATATAACAATACTAAAAGAATAGAAGGGTTATAAAAGAACTGCTGCTATGGGGGTAGAGCCTTATTACATGTTCGCCATTGCTCACGGTTTCTTGACATGGCTGGTGTAGTCTCCACCTATGTGCGTCCGGATCCTTGCTTTTCCAACCAGGGAGTCGAGAGCGCTCGACCGCGTCCCAATGGGAAGTCAGGCCTTCATACTTTTGTCCCAGTTCATTCACTGGCCAGTTTGCCTTCGCTTCCAACCGACTTCTGTGCGCACAATGTGTGCACGGTGAGGCAGACGCTCAGTAGACATGCGAAGCAAGTACCCAAGGCTGGGAAGCATATTCAGGGAAATCATGCGGCTCAGCGGCCGGTGAAGTCTGTCTGATCTGAAAATCTTGCGAACATCCTCATTGTTAATGTGATGTTGCCACCGCACACCAGTAATGCTCCGGAGACAGCCATGATCGAAGACAGACAGCCTCTGAAACACGAACAGACCAATTTTCGCAACTGTTTAGCAGGACCGCTCTCACCGTTGCATTGTAGGCTCGTCCCTTCAAGGATGGACTCAGGTCGCGTCGACACCAGAGATAGCGGAGGTTAGCAAACGTAATCCCCGGGGTTAGAGACGCGCAAAGTGACCTCATCTGTTAAACTGTTAGCGCTGATGCGGCTTCCGAGATAAGCGAACTTGTCTACCACTACGAGTGATTGACCTGAAAGGGTAAGGGTCGGAGCAGCTTCTAAGCAAACTTTAGACTTCGAAGGGGCGAAGGTCATTCCAAACTGGGAAACAGTCACCTCCAACCTGCACAGCACAATTTGGGCGACCTGTGAGGGATCGAAAATTACAGCGCAGTCAATCCCCCAGAAGCAGCTCAACGAAGCAGGGTCCGCAGTTCTCTAGAGCACTCTCCAGGATGTCATCAGGAAGGGTGATGCTAGACAGCCACCACTGGTGACACTAAAGGGGGTGGAAGTTCTCCGTACACCAGCGCTTGGCTCAACATTCGAGAGTAGACTGCTCGAAGAATGTTAACGTACTTCTCAGGCACTCCCTTTCTCAAAAGACAGCTCTATAGAGAACGGCTTTGTCAACTGAGTCGAACGCAGCTCGTATGTATAAAATGTCAACGATTGTTAGCCGGCCGAACGCTTGACGACGCTCATGTATTTGGCGGCGAGTAAAGATGTGATCAATACAACTCCAGTCAGAGCGAAACCCAGCTTTCCATTCGTGTATGTTCTGTTCGCGTACCAAGCTGCTCCTCCTTAAAAGCAGGGTGGCGAGTACTTTATGTGCAACGCAGCTGTGACTTATCTCTCTGCGCTTAGCACAGTTTGAGCGGGCACCTTTTGAAGACGAGCACGACGTCCGCTGGACTCCAATCAGACGGCTTTGCTTCGGTAGTCCAAACCTTTGGGAGGAGGGAACTTAATTCCCGAACAAGTGGTGGACCTCCATTTTTGTAAAGAGCCGAAGGAAGTTCGTCTATGCCAGGGGCTTTGTATTGCTTTAGGAGGCAACGCTCATGAGCAACCTCAACCTCAACAGGTGGTGAAGTGTCTACACACCATGGAGCATTCTGGATTCCTGAATGGGAACACATCGGTGTTGCTGGCCAGTTAAACTGTTGCTCAAAATGCACGATCCTACTCTCAAGTCAGCGTTTTTGATAGTGGATTGGCTTGTCATTGATTTCGCACAAGACTTCGCTCACAGTCGGCCTTTTGCCGCCAGTGGATCGGACCAGATGGAAAAGCCTTCGGAAATTCCCCGAGCTGGCTGCCTGCTCCATATCAACGACCCGTTGCGTCCACTAGGCCTCGAGGTCCTCCCTGAGGATCTGTTTGAGTTCAGCGTTAATGGTCCTGCGTGGTGAATGATACTCAACGCCAGTGGAAACATTCGACGAGCTTCCATTCCATATATTAGCGTTCTTCGTCATTGTCCTCCATAACAGTGCATCAATTCCGCAATTTGTTGAACATTCCAGTGGTTTGTATCTTCGTAAATTTTACTCCAAAGACGCACTTTAGTCTGTGACTTCCAGTCTCGCTTACACTGTGCTAATGTCCAGAATACGATTAGTTTTCATTCGATCCTACAGAGCTTTTTATTTTCCTTTTTGATCCTTGTGCGTCGCACATTGCTATTGCTTCGTAGGCATTTGAGCACTCACCTACCGTGGTCGTAGACAGGATTCCACAAACATAAACGGGTGAACCAGTTGTGTATATTTTTCATCACGATAATTTGACTATATATGCATAGTTCAGAACCGGATCATATTACCCTAGCATTTATTGCAATGAGCCAAATATATTTTCCATTGACCGAGTGATAACAACCAATCATTTGGTCTGCAGTTGTGGTTTGTGGTTCCTCTTGATGGTTGACGGCGTCAGCTCTTAAAGTGGACTGTGTAGCTTCCGCCACTTGCTGCCGGTGTTTTGTTTTACGAACCTGTCGGTATTTTGAACCACTGTAAGTGATGGCCACCAATCGTTTGTAGTTTGCCTATTAATTAGTGCACATCGTGCTTTCCAGTTATGTGACTTACATCACAAACTTTTTGGTTTTTATCCTGCTGTCCTTTTTTCCACCTTCAGTCCTGGCGCCCGGTAATAGTCGGACTCACGAACTTTATCTTAACGCGTTCAAGCATTTTGTCGGCTCTGCTTCATCGACCACTTTATTCAACTGAGACGGCGAATACTGCCTACCTGTCACTAGAGGCCTTGTGTGACATGTTTGTCCGTTACATTGAATACAATTGCACTGCAGCCGAGGCCATTCCTATCGATGAGAATAAGGTTTGTCAACGAACTTCAACATACCTGTTGGCAACTTTCTACATTGGCCTTGCTTTTACCTTCTCCCCGGTGTCAGTTGCATTATCATATCATAAAATCACACATGACGATTTACGCTCATTTTTAACGTCACACTGCTTCCATGTTGCTATGTGCACCCGTGAACTTCTGCATCCACACTATCCATTGCTTTCAGAAAATTTGTGAGCACATCGAACACTGATAGTTTCTTTGTTTCATCGATGATGTCCATAGCTATGCACTTCTAGTTTGTATGGGGTAATTGCGTTCCTAGAGCGCTGGCTAGCTCTCAGATCCATCTGGAATTGACGAGGTCATCTGACTCAGTTGTGGTTTCTGCCCCGTTTAGGTGCCGCACTCGGATGGCTACAGCTTGTTATCATCATGTCTTTCTCATTCGTCGCTAGTGATGCGCCACAAGCTCTAGTGTTCTGTCATGTGCCCTCCCGAAATATGACGAGTGTTCTTAATTCTAACTGGGATATAAAGCTTACTTATGCTAATGAGCTCTGTATGCGTCATTTCCAAAGATTGTCTTTCTATTGGCTATTTCTATAGTGACGATGTAGCTTCCCAAGCTGACAGCTTTGCCTAACGGTTTAGATTGAACGACCCGGATTGCACGCAAGCTCCCTGAAGTTGTTCGTTCTGTTACTTGCATTCTGAGTAGATGCAGTCGACGTGGCAGTCAGTACCGACCGATAATTTCTTCTCTCCGAGCTGACTTATGTAAAGACACCTCAGTATCCAACAAGCAACTTGCTTACTTCGTACATCAAACAGGCCTGTATAATCCAAATATGAAACCGTTTTGACATTTAGTTTCTTGACGCTTCCGTTCATGGTATGCTTTTCTCTTTGGCCCTCGTGTCCTATACTTTTTATCCTTTCTTTATGGCCTATCACTTCGCCCCACACAATAACCTCTCCACTTGCAATCTTTTATACGTTCCTTCCACCTCTTTCTGTCTCTTTAGAGCGTGTTTGTCGCTTGGTCACCCGATCGCCAGTGTCCTTTGGAATTGGATTGTATTCAAGCCCAGCTACTTCTGTTAACCCACCTGTATGACGAACTCCCAGTTAACCGTCCTCCAGATTTGTTTGATCAACTCGATGAGGACATTACGACCTATTATGTCGGTGATAAAAGTGCTTGGGCTCGCTTGCGCGATCTATGGTTCATATCCAGCAGCCAATCCGGTTCGCAGTGTTTCTACAAATTGCCTGACCTATCTCCGTTTGTCTTCCCAATGCCCCAATTTCACTGCTCTGAGTTCTCCAGACCTGATCATTTCACATTTGAGCCCTCGACTGACGGAGGCGCCCCCCGACCGTGTATATCAAACGAACTTCGATGTAGGCTCATTGAAACTAACCAGGAGATTTTGATAGCGGGAGGTAGGTCTTTTCAGGCGAGTAATTTATACTCTTCAATAATCCGGTCTTCAGCATTATCATGCCTCGCTGCTCACTCATCTTTTCACAGCCCTGTGGTCGCTATCAACACAGGAGATATTGGATACGCTGCATAGTTTAACTCCATATGTTCTCACTGACAACACCGTTGATGTGCTCCGTCGGCAGCTTGAGTCACATCTATCTCATTGTGATGAGTCATCGCAAAGCGCAATTCAAGTGCACATTGAACGCCTCAATGACAAGAGAATACAACCTGTTTTCACGGTACGCGGTTTGTGCTATAGTCTTCCTTGCTCTATTATGTGTCCGAATGCTTTTCCAGTCCTTTCAAATCGGTGCCATTTTTGGTTCACAGTCACATCCCACCCTGGTTGTGAGCATTGTTTTTCATTTTCCCTTTTTTAATTTTCTACTTTTCGTTTTTCATTCTTTTCTCACCAATTGGATTCCGTTCTTACGAAGGCGCCAACTTGACGGCTTAGTTCCGGCTGTACGGCTTTGTACTACTAATGACTCCGTTCATTGGCGCCTTACTAGCCGTAGCTTGTCATTTTGGATGCTATGATAGTGGTGACATTTTTGAGAAAATAATCTTGACTTGTTTCAATGCCTGTCTGATCAAACTAAGTGTGCATTTTCACGGAACCCTTTTTGTTATAATACATCTTAGGTCGCGCGTTCATCAGGACATAGAGGCTACACTAGGTACCTTTTGACTGTGCCTTGACGCGGTACGGTGGTTTGTGTGCCTCAACGATCTATTGAGCTGTTCTGATTGGTGTCTTTTTCACCTCGCCCATACCAGATTTGGTTGATGACTAGAGGCCAGACAAACTCAACCTTCTCATCCTCAAGATTTGAGATTGGAATGCAGATAGTCCTGAATCTGTCGCCCACCGCCAAACTTCTGTTGCCTTGCAGTCAGATTTTTCGTACCAAAGGCTTTGGTTGATTGAGAATAATCAAATGCGCCCTATCTATCAAACGGGGTAAATAGGAGTGAGATTGCCACTGCCCAGATCTTCTCGTCCTCCTATTTTTGGGTGCTTTTTCGTTCCCATCTTCCAGTTCCAACTTCAAATGTATCCGTCTTATTCTCAGTCCTTAATTCTTGGTCCTCTTCTTCCTTACTCTGTTACCGGTTTGTCTTACACTTTCAAACCGTACTCAGTCGCAGAAGAATGGCCCTGTCCAGTCCGCAAGTCTATGTCCAATCCAGCGAGTAACCTCAATGTATTTGCTACACTTGGATCCTTCTGTCCTCGTTGATACTGACAGACTGTTGCTGACCGGTCAACATGCAGAGCTTGTCCGGTCGATATCTACTGTTTATCGGAAACCCGGTAGCATCACTCGGGCTCCGTGTTCAGCCTACGACCCCCTTCATGTACCACCGGCAGCGCTTTCTTTTTCGTTTTTCTGAATTTAATGCAGCTTCGCATATCGGTCAAACCGGTGTGGGTTCGCCCTGGGCATCGGGATTGGAGCTGATCGACTGGATTTAAACTAGTAGCCTGATGGGCGGGGTCAGTTTTGCTTGCTCACACAGTTTCGAAGTCACGTAGGGACAATAGATGCCATTTTGTCACTGCTGACGAAGGTATCACAAAAATAGCACGGATTCGATGAAAGATGAATTCTATCGTCCAGCTGACTGCGCTCCTTTTTCACAGAAGTACGGATACTGTTATGCTGGCTTGCTATTCGAACGTTCAGGTGAAAGAATTGCCCATTGCTAAACTCCATCTAGGCGGCGTAATCTTATCCGTGTTAGATCGCTAATTTTTCTGAAGATGTTTTTTATTGAAGAATTTCGGTACTGCTTTCTCCCATCGCTGCACTCTACGACGCGTTTTATGCTTGTTTGAACTCATCTGGATGGTTACTGGGCGCCCATCATCATGGACTCAACTCGATCACATCGCGACCAGTTACCGTTCTAAGGTTTATGTTCCAAACATCGTTTGATTTAAAACACAAACCTGGAATCCGACCGTGCCAACGAGACTGGACTTTAACGTGTTGGGACGGTTTGCTTATCTCGTCGACCCATTGAGCTATACTGGGTGGTGCTCCCAAACTCATTAACAGTTACTCCTACCAGGTTAGTCAATGATTAGAAGTCAGACAAACTCAGTCTCCTGGTCCCCCAAGTTGGGGTTCAAGATGCGATGACGGCCATTACTTAAAACCAAATCACTGCCACCTCCCATCTGTCTTGCGGAAAGACTTTTGAGCCAAATGCTTTGGTTGAGGACCCTGATCGTCTTCCTGTTTGGATCTGGGCGCATTGACAGTATCTCAGGCCACATACAATCTTAACTTTTTCTTCAAACCTAAACATCTTGCATCGGCCGTCGCGATTATCAAGAGTCGCCTTATCTGCTGCATATAGCAGGGAGGATAAGCGAAAACATGCTACTGCTGGCGCCTCCTTTCTTTTCCATCTGTTTCTCTTACTCCCATCCCGACCCCCATTACTAACCTACCTTATATAGTCCACAGCTTTATTGGCATCAGCCGCAATGTCACTGGAGTCCAAGCAACTGCTGTTACCTTCCTGCACCACCCACTGGACGCCCATCGTCCTAACCACGCTGTCCCGTTTCGACGGCGGCGTTCAACGTTCGCACTCTAAGACAAATAGGTCAACAGGCTGCACTCGTACGCACGTTAGATACACCGGGTATTGAGGTGTGTTGTGTGTCCGAACCTAGGGTCAATGACCCTAATGGGGTTATTGAATTAACTGCGCTCGGCTTGTCCTCTCGTCATTGGTTGCCCGCATCCGGAGATGCAGCACTTATGGATCAAGCTGAGGTAGGCATCGTACTCAGTCCGAAGGCTGAATCATCGTTGCTTGATTGGATTCCGTTGAACAGCCGTTTGATGACATCGACCAATGTTGATTCACGAAGTAGTAGTTGCTTGTGGTTTCCGCTTATTCTCCCACCGACTGCAGTTCTGATGCTGCCAAGGACACATTCTATCACGAACTGAACGTGCTACTAGTTCAGTTACCATAGTGTTTGCAAGGGATATGAATGCACAGGTAGGTCGCCTGAGCTCATCTAGGTGGTAAATATAGGCTTAACTACGACCGTGCGGACAACGGCCAGCGTCTGTTGCAACTGTGTGCAGAGCACCAGTTGTTTCTTAGTAGCACTGCTTTCAGCCGCCGTGTGCGCCGAAGTGCCACTTGGCGTCCTTCTATAGATGGCCAGTGATGGCCCCAAATAGATCACATTGCTATAAGTTACAGGTGGCGTTATTCCATTCTAGATTGCCTCTCGTTCTGGAGTAATTGCATCGACTCTGATGATGCCTTTTTCCCGATTGGCTACTGAGGAGTTATCCCAGTCCTCTGTCAGACAAGCCTGCCAAGATGTACTACGTAGTGAACTTTCGTCTCTTTGTCCTAATGATTCTGAGCATCAGTGGAATATGATTTCAGTCGCCATGTAACATGCAGGAGCATCTGCTTCTGGTGCTCTCAGTCGTCACTGCACCAGTCACTGGATATCCGAGGGGTTGATGACTGTTGGAATTCAGAACAAACCTCCCAGCCGGCTCTGTGCACAACGTGATCAGACAAACCATTAGGCGTGAACTAAAGCGGAGCCGGCTCGATGATACGGAAGCGTGGTGGATCAGTCGGGCTCAAAAATTGGAGGAGGCGAGAGCAGTAAGGAACTATCGCAAACTCTTCCAGCTGATTCACACCACTGATTCGAGGGAACCAGACCAGAGAGACAATCAGAGCCAGTGCAGTGCTCTGATTCACAATAGAGTGCCGTATGGCTCCTTGGGCGGAACACTTTCAAGGTCAGTTCAGTTGGCACCCTGCTTCCGGACCTCTTCCCGTTCAGGTGATGCAGGATGTGCGATGGACGGTTAATATAGAAGCTCCATCGGACGCTGAAGTCCGAAACGCGATCACAGCCTACAATCGTTTTCGTTCTGCTGACCCGGATTTCCTCCCACTATTTAAGGATGTGAGTGAGATACTCTTGCAAAGCACTGACCTCCCTGTTCCTACATGTCTAGGAGGAAGAGACCGTCGCGGCTAACTGGAGCGAATCGATTATAGTGGCGATGAACAAGAAGGGCAATCGCACCTACTCTGTTGATTACAGCGGTATTATCCTAACGTCTGTGGTGACGAAATTGTTGGCGTCAGTTCTTCGTCCCATCGCTGTGAAACGGGAATCACAGGCTAGGGAAGAGCATGCAAGTTTGCGCCCACTATGTGGGTGTATAAAGCACAAATTCATTATGCGGCAGGTATTAGAGAAGCACCACGCATACCGCAGACCGGCAATAGCTGTGTTCCTCGATTGTAAGAGTGCGTTCGATTCAGTTGATCGCTGCATTTTGTTCGAAATACTTGCACGGAAAGGTTTTCCCATGAAATATGTGAACATTTTACGTGCACTGTACTCAAACACTGGGCTGCGTCACGGTCTACGGCGACTTGTCGTATGACTTTTCCACAAATGGTGTTCATCAGGGTTGTCCGATTTCCCCGTTTTTGTTTAACCATCTTGGATTCCATCATACAGTGTTCCCTTATGGAATCTCACGATGCAGGTGTTGAAGTGCTGTTTGCGGAAAGGCTTGTTGCTCTTGATTATACGGACGAGATTATCTTGCTATTTAACGATGTTGGGGTGGCGCAATCAACCCTGTATAGCCTTTTTAGAGTGGTGCCATCGTTTGGTTTGCGCTTTGCACCTTCAGACTGCCAAGTGTTGCTGCAGCATTACCAGCCACTTGATTCCTTTACTCTAAATAGCGAGAAACTCGAGGTATTTCATTAATTCACTTACCTTCGCGGCTGCATTGGCAACAATGAGCGTATAGCAACTGAAGTCATTTCGCGTATTGCAAAAGCCAGAACTACCTTATTAAATCTGTGGCGATAGTAAGGAGTTACCCGACATTCGATATGCCGTGTTTACAAGGCCACAGGGAGGGCCGTTCTACTCTATGGGAGTGAGACTGTCCCTTCGGTCTCAAGGTCTGAGGTGCCTTCAAGCCTTTGATCATCGTTGTCTGCGGAACATTGCTGGTGTCGGGTGGCACGGGTGTCCGCAACGATGATGTGCGTAGTCGAGTACGAGGCACTGATAACCAGGCTAGCTCATTAGAGCAACAGATAGCACTGAATAAATTACTTTGGCTTGGGCAATGCTACGTGTGTCTGGTCACCGCTTACTTAGAAGGGCGTTGTTTAGTCTGCCAGATATAGGGTTGCGCAAGGCTCGAGGTGGACAAAAGTTAACTTGGCAGCGGGAAATGAAGTCTCTGACGACCGAAATGGATGCTGTCGGTCTGTTTCGCCTTCCGGGTTGGAGTCCACGTGACTCGCCTTGTGCTTGGCTCCAGACTTTACAGGATATGGCTCGCAGTCGGCACCAGTGGTGCATCTGCTGCCATCTCCTAATCGGATTGCCTGTTTAAAGTGTGTTTGGTACTGAGTTATCTGCGGTGTAATGGCTGATTATGACGCGTGGCAGTGAAAGCCGCAAGGAAGTTGTCTGAATGATGCCGCTTTATCTTTGCACTATAGCCAGTTGTTTGTGACGGTATGTTATCTACACAAGGTGTAGGCGCCTTGACCCTGAATGTTTGCTTAGGGCGTTAAGGTTCCCCTTCTCTTCCTTTTAGTATTTTTCTTTACATAGGTAGTGGTGGTTGTTTGGCAGCGAAACATCAGTTCGAATTTCTGATGTACTGCTGTTGGTGATTATGTGATTGTATATGTACTCATCTGCTGGTGCGTTTCGGCAGACTTTCGCGGTAACGCTGTGCGCGCATAAATACCTACCATCTGGCTTTGCCAGATGTTTTGGACGCGTATCAGAATACGCTAACTCGTGAGCTAAACGCTCAAGGAACCCGCTTGAGTGACGCTGACCGCTTTTTTAACCGTTAGTAGTTGCAATTATGTCTTCGTGTACGATCTCTCAATATCACAATGGGCTGTGGATCTCTACTCAATCTGGAAGTTACAGGTGTTTGCCGGTACATTCCTATTGCAAGTGAATACGACGACACTTTCAGAGAGCTAAGGGCAATATTCTGTTCTCTATATTCTATAGAGAAACCGCGGAGACATGTCTTTATCGTGAATCGGATAGGAACCGGTCACAGCTTTTGGTAACGATCGCTGGTTCTTACATTCTGTATAAACCTGCTTTTCTCCACCCCATTTGGGACGAGAAGAGTATTTCTGACCAAAATCTGCTAAAAATTTGAAGCGTTCAGTTGAACACCTCAAAAAGCCGACTAGCGGTGACCCTACTCCATGTACCTTCCCTTTAGATCCACCCTTGTAAGCTGAGGTCGAACTTGAGATCCGTTTGCGCCTTTTTCTAGCTTTTATATTTGTTGCGCCATCATTTGTAGATGCTTTGCGCGAGCTTTTAGTACAACCCCGGGAACCGGAAACCATCCCAGCCGACTGTGACTGCTTTATGGCCCTCAATTCTCAAGGGGGCTCACGTTCGCAATGCGACAATTGCTCTAATCTTCAGTCTCTCTAACTTGCTCTTCTATGTTTCCGTAAACTGCTTGGTGCCCATGACAATTAGACTCGTGAAAAGCAAGCCGTGTTTCGTCGCAATTGTGGTTGTGTTGACCATGAATTTGCCTTACCTCTGATTCTGGAGCACTACCATTTGCACTTTCGATCTATCATAGCCGTGTTCCCCGACTAGAAAGGTGCCTTCGATTCAGTGGGTTCATATCTTTTGAAACTATCTGAATAGGAGTGGTGTCCATGAGAAATATTATAGATATTATGAGGGCACTGAATGCTCGTAATTCGAGCTGAGTGACAAACTATCGCCACTCTACAATCTCGCCAGAGTTGGGAGACGAAGATGTCAACCATCTTCGATGTAGAGGGGGGGTCAATTGAAGCCACTCCGAAATACAGCTCCTGCTGAATTTGAAGCATTACGTTCTCTTTACGTTGCTAAATAATACCATAAGAAAACGAGTGTTGCGAGGTGATATCATGTCGTGCTCTCTGATCACATGCAAATGAGCAACATAGTAAACGATCACTGAAGAAACGGACCGATTGTTTGAAAGCTGGCGAAAAGATCGGAGCGGTGTACAACATGACAATCTACGGCAGAATCATAAATAGTGAAACAATTGTCACAATCCCCACGGAAGTTTGCGTATTACACTCAACTGTTTTTCTACCCAAACAGCCTCGGTGAGCTTAAGTGGTTTGGCGTTTACGTTGCGATAGATGACCTTAAACTCCACGTCCGGGTCAACTTGACCTGAGCTTAGTAGGTATTTTACAACCGATGCGGCTGGCATTTTGGAGCTTGACGCCTGTCCCCTCATGTTTGACCTCTCGTAGTGGTATCGCTCCACTTTGCAATATGCTGCCCCATCGTCTTACGCAGCTACTGATCTGTTCTGCCGATGTATATGCTCCCGGAGCTGCAGACAAACTGATAAATACGATGTGTTACAGCGGAGATCGGTTGGGTTAGCTTGACCGAAGGCACTGGTAACTGGTTGTCCAAAGATGGCACAGTTTGGCGGCACTGAATGCCCGTCGAATTGAGGTGGCCACACACCGCTCGATTTGGTTTGCCACGACATCTCCATTGAATAGCAACTGTAGATAGGTGGGCATTTTTAGCACGGTAAAGGATTTTGTGGGTTCTCTTTCATTGGTCGGCCGTAGAATTCAATAAAGGCTAAATGGTAGCCATTCCTTCGCAGCGTCTGTGTACTAAGTTGCAATTCAGACTCCAAACACTCGTGACTGCATATTCTACGAGTTCGCTGGAAAAGATTTTGACGAAACGGCGTTTATGTTGGATAAGCATGCAGCTACTGAAGTGTTCGTATAATCCTCTCCAAGTGGATTTTCGATGGGCAGATCGCGGTATCGAGCCGTCTGCATTTCTCTTCAATAGCACATCCAAAACGGCGATACGGTCCTCATTCTCTAGCTCATGTAAATGACCATTGGGGTGTGCGTGGTTCTTCACCTCGAGAAGACATTCTGCGGCGTTGATGTTTGGGGTGATCACTAACGTGTCACCAACCTACCGCTTGTACAGTTACCTTTGGTCAAGTTGGGATTCAGCTTATGCTTCGACCATTGCCATGATGTCTGCTAGCGTAGTGGTGAGTGGACTTCCCCTAGCAACGCCGTCCACCAGTCGATAGCACTCACTTTCGGACAGGAAGTGAGCATTCTCTGTGCATGCCAGAAATAAATCATTAAAATATTCAACGGGTATCGGTAGGGTTATTTTCTTCTCTGTCACAAAATTACGTAAGTAATCCACCGGCTTCCTTAGTAAAACGGAGTTGATTATAAAGTAACATATCATACAGTAAAAGTTCGAGGCGCTTTTGATGGTCGTCCCCATGGTAGGATATCGCGCTTACCCGTAGGGTATAGTCTATAAGTATATCATCCCTTCAGTTTAACTGCACTGTTACGGGACCTGGTCCGTCAGATCGGAAGACCTAAAGAGGCTACTTTTTTGACTACCGGTGGATACACAGCGTGTTTTTGGCTCAGGAACGTCTCATCGCCGTTATTTCACGCATCAGGTTCCGATGGTTAGGCCACACGATATGCACGCCAGAACGACTTCCGCAATGTGCGTTATTCGCGCAGCCTGGGTATAGGTGGAAAAAGTGCAGAGAAGGCCAGCTGATGACTTGGTAACCAGGATGCGGACTATCACTTCGATCTTGGCCTCGGTTGCTGCCTCCCAACTTGAAGTCCCAAGGATGATGAACATTTTTAGTTTGAGGTACTTGTTCACGCTGCCAAAAGCTGACCTCGATGGCTTTTGTGTTGAGAGTTTCGTTGTTACTCATCGCCACTCTTGACTTCTAACTACATCCACGATCGCATCACTAGTGCGTTGTGTAGTCATCGTGCAATATCTTTTCCTTCTGTTTTCCCTAGGTGGCACATTAGCTGAAGTGTTTTTCCTGATAACGTGTAGAATACCGACGTAGCATGGGTTATATCAGAATACAGCATTATCGGATACCCGAATCAAAGCGCTATCCCATATATCCTCACACGTTCAACCTAGTACGAGCTGTCACCCTAAATCGTGTTCATTTGACCTGAGAGAGTTATATCCTTGGAATTTCGTAGGTACCGCACCGCATGCTTCATTGTGACTGATTATCTTCTTATGTCCTCCACCTAACCCATCGCGGAATTCAGGACTACTGTTTCGCTTTTTCAGGATTTGGATTTGAGGGGCTCTTCCAGTGATCCTGTCAACTTCAGTGTAAACCTACCAGCAGTGGATGGATCCGAATGCCAGAATCCAAATAACCTTGAACACCCAATACATTTACCAGATATTGCTTCGGATTCTTTCTGGTATCAACTGGTTGCTGTTCTTAAACCCATGGATTCAGTTCGCCAAGCCGGCCTGATTTGCGATGCCACTCATCTCGTTATCTGCGATTACACTGTGGGGACCAAATGGCTGTTTCAGATAGACCACGTGCGTTTTTTAACGTGCTACCACAATCAATTTGTTTGCATTAGTGTTTGTTATTTTTCACTTTACGGTGTAATCTATTAAGGCATACCATTTGGGTTGCGATCCTCTCCTACCTGGTGTATCTTTGTTATCAACAGTGGCGGCTTCAGCCATTTCCTCTTCTTCTGCATATGAGTACTTGCTACCCTACAGGCACTTGCGTTGAATAATCCCTCAGTTTTGTACTGTTCTTATCCTCTAAAGCCCTCACTGGCCACAGGCTTCTGTTATGGCTTCTTGATTTAATCGGATCGGTAACAGACTGGAATGTGATTGATTTCCACATGTTATTAAAACCGGATTCGCGCGCCACTTGGATTCGTTTGTTGCCATCGCCTTTCCGTACGCTCATGGTTGTACACGGTCCATCACGCTTTCACTTAGGTTTTAGCTTCATTTGAGGCACCCTCTCATTTTCGGTCATATGCACATGAAAACGTTATCAACTCTCCACTTTAATGCATTTTCACGCAGCTATCTTCACCAAGGACAATGTGCATAACGATGATTTCAAAAGTTAACTGCAACCTTGGTGTAGACCACGTAAATTGCCTTCGCTTTCACATCGCCTCTTTCCTTTTGCAGGAGTTGGCTATTTTAGAGTCAACTACTCGAAAATCTCGCGGTCGAATGAGCACACGAAAATCGCCTGCGAAACACAAATCTGTCACAATTGAAGATGCAGCTACATTCTTTCATTCGCTTTGTGACAATAAAGCATTAATCAGACTTTTCCAGCCGCTCATCTCTATTTGTGTACATCTAGAGCAAGAGGTGAGTTAGTAATGTTGCAACTCTGTTTAACTAAGCAGTATTCCTTTCTTTTATTCATGAGTCATTGAAACTAAATTTTATGCTGATTCCAATCTCCTCCAAATTGACTTGTATACTTTTTATTTTTCCGACGGTGTCACTTTTGCTATCATGGTGATCCGAGTCACACCAATTTGACCCACTGCAGTTTGTTACTAAACCCATTACCACTAAATCGGAACAGACGAATCCATCTTCACTCTCACTATACCGAGCATCTGTCCAACTGTATTGTTACCACATTTTGTCACCATGTCAAACATCAAATGTTTTTCAATTTTCTCTCCATCATTTTCAGCTCATTTTCTAGATTTATGGATTTTCAGGATATCCCAGGTTTCATACTACCATTGAATTTCTCACACCTTTGATTCATTCACTGCCTAGTCCTAGCGATCGGTTTGGAAGCATTTTCAGCATGTCATCATGTTAGTATATCGAAGGTGGCCGTTCACTGAGTGCTGATGTGGGAAGGTGTCTGTTTTTCCCTATCCTTGTTCTTCATCGATTCCATACCTTTGAAGTACATAGCATTCCTATACCCTTCTTCCTATTCAGCTTATCGTCTCCTTGGAATTCCTTAGCTTATACTCTACGTTTTCTTTCTAGCCTCAGATTGTCGGCACGCGGTTCATGAATCGATTGAAGACTGTTGTTTCTTCGAATCTAACTCTTACGGACATCCGTCAGTGTCTAGCCAACTTGGCACTCTTCACTGGTATTACAGTTGGGTCAAGACCTCCACTCTCTGTTGATGTGTCATCTGGGAGTGCTGCATCCTCGCCCTCGTTATCTGAGCTTCCAATTAACCCCGTGTCATCAACAGATTCCGAACGGTATGTTTTTCCGAGCCATAGGGTTGCCTCCCACTGTACCCACAAACTCATTTTTAAGACGTCCATTTTCAATAAACAAACTAACTCATCCATGCATCGAACTAAAACGCACTTTCAGATGTGGTAGTGGAATATCGCTCGTAGACGCGCATCGAAATCTGACCTGGTGAAAACCATAGAGCAAACACCTAGGTGTGGGCTGGATGTTGATGTCGTCCACTGGTAGTTGGTTGTCAGGCATCATAAATGTCTTATACCATGATATAATTCTACTTTCTCAATTCCAACTTGATCAGAAAAAGCACACAGACTGGTCTAGATTTAACTTCGATGGAATACCATACGCGCCGCATCTCACTGCACTGAAGATGCCACCTCGCATGATGTTGAAACCTTTGCGACCAAACTGCCAAGCTCGGTGTACAGTTGAACAATTTAAGGAGTACTCCTTTTTATCCTACTCTCAGCGCTATGGCCGATAAGTGGTCCTTTTGCACTTAATTAGCTTGCCCGTCAGTGATGTCTTCTACGTATGTCGTCGCATGTGGTTCCAAAGTGGAACGTTATGTTAACAGGTACCATCCTTCTCTGATTTGTCTATTTCCCAGCACTATGTAGCGCCGAACGACTAGTAGCCATCCCTCACACTGGATGTAAATCCGGGATGGCCACAGTTACCTAAATTTCTGTGAACCTTTTATTAACTGTGTTCTCATCCTGCACCACAAAAATTGAACTAATGGTCGGATTTGGAATCATTCCAGTATTTTCACCTTGCTTTTATGACAGTCTGCTCCTGTCCACCGTTAATTTTTAGGCTTACCCAGCTTTGGGTTACGTTGTCCAACGCTCTTACAGTGTGTGAGCTCAACGCGAACACTGCCACCATGATATATGATATTGTGTTTCCATAGTACAACTCAGTTCTGTGGCACCCACAGGTAAAATTGCAGCTTATGTTTGCTGTTCTTATCACACTGAAAAGCCACCAGTTAAATATGTATTCTTACTTATCATCGAAAAATAGGTTGTCAGTGCTGCTTTGGCACAGGCTGATAACTTGGCGGAGACGTTCTAAGCGGGCAATCTACCGAGTCCGCAATTGAAGCCATAAGTACCGCTTTTGAGAGGGCCAACCCAATGCGCTTCTTTTGGTCTGATCAGCGCACGAATAACCCTTAGCAAATCCTCCCTTTGTACGCTGTTCTTATACCACCAATCTGGTCCACTTCCACAGTGGATAAATTGATCCACTTGAGCAAAAAACGGAGCACTCGAGGTCATACTGACAGTTCCACCACTATTTGCACATCGGTTGGAATATCCCCCGATTATCCGCACCTGCACCATTACAAATTGATGATTTTTGGATTGCAGACTAGACATCTGAACCGCTCCACTGGCCGTTTTGGCTGCAGTGGAAGTGTCGGCTCTCCGAGCCGCGTCCACTCATTGGTAATAGGAACAACAGCACTGAACACACGATTTTTAGCATCAGAACACTACACTGTCTGCCTTGAATACTGACAAATTGCTGCCGGGGATGTGACGTAATTCAACAGGCCACTACTCGGAAGGCCTTGTTATCTTTTCGTTTTATTAGGTCGATCAACCTAACATGTGGCTCAGAGTTACCGCAACGTACCGATATGTGGCTCTTCACGACTTAGCTAACATGCATCACATGTTCCTTGTTTTATCAAAATCTGATGAGCATTTGTTACAATTTTCAATTCAAAACATTACAACTATCATGCTTAACCGCTTCGTTAAACCACTTTTTTCGAACTCGATCGCTTACACCAGCATGTACGGGATATCCTTATTATTTATCCGACAATTCTTACTTGTACCTTGTTTTTTCTCTCTCCAGCATTGACGGCCTCTTCCTTGATTCGATCCAGACTTTCGGGCTGACTGAGTTAATCTGTACTAAGGAGGAGGGTGCACTGTGTCCCGAATCACCTGAGTCACGCCCGCTTAAGGAGCAAATCCTACGGCCCATTTTTTATCAAAGCACTTCGACAGCATGGAAATGTTCCGAATATCTGCTGACAGAGCTACTCGATCAAGCAGACACTTCGTTCTTGAATGAATGTGTCCGTGATTTACTTCAGTCGAAACAATCGGCTAAATTAAAGTAATGTTGTTTTGTAGTTGATTTTTTGGAAACTCATTGAAATCGCCTCTTTTTTCATATAAACTTTTCTGTTTATTCACAGTTGCACGCGTTTCCTGGATTTCCTGCACTCTGTTCTAACTTTGCCTCGTCTGACTTATCCCGTGCCTCGATCAGAACCGCGCGATCGTCCTGATGCTGTCACGGCCTTGAGTGAGCTTCTTCTTCTCAATGTATCAGAGTCTTATCAATTGCTCAACTTTGTGCTTCAAGAAGCATGCGATGAAATGTTACTGGCTTCATCTGTTGATCCCAAGGTCGGTTTCATTTTTTTTCTATCTACTTTTTATGTTCATAACAAACGCTGATAGATCGAATCTTAACGCGAGATTGACTCGAACAAACCTGCATCCCAGTTGCGTAGGTTTCGTGACATCTCGCAATATGCGCATGATTACACCATCTAGGCACTTAGCCAACGTAACCTATTTTCTTCCTCTATTGCTTGAATGTTACCGGGGTTACTTCCCTCATTTTTCAGCTATTTCTCAATTTAGCGGTCCCCATTTGATTTCGTTTCCTTACCCATAGGTTACCATGTCTACAGTCCTCGAATTTTTCGTAGTCTGTCTCGTTAGTGCTCTGCTGTAACTGTTAATATCCATCCATGGATCATGAAATTTATTGTCACATTTTCAATTCTTTCATAATAGTGCAAGTGACCGAACTACAGTTGCGCGTCAATCTTCCACTTTCAGCCCATTAATTCATTCATTCGCCCCGTCAAACATTATTCATTGTGCGAATATAGTACAAAAAACGAGATAACTCAGGGATGGCAGAATACGGAGATACAACGGGTATATATATATATATATATATATATATATATATATATATATATATATATATATATATATATGGTTGGCGGCATCCGGTTTCGGATTTGCCTGTCACTGTAGCCAGCCACAGGACGCCTGCGCTTACAGAGGGAGCATGGGTGGCTTGCGCTGCACCACCCACAGCTCCAACCACACACCCCATATCCAGTGTAAACCCGAGGGAATAAGACCGGGAGGCATGTGGATGGGAGCCACGTTTCATCAACAGAGCCGGCCCACACTCCTTCACAGGCAAACACAAGCACACTGTATTTGGGGAATCAAGCGCACACCAGGCGGTGGCTGGACCGTAGTCCGCTCCACACTGACTTCATGGAACCACTCTTCGAGCCTAGCACGGCCACAAGGACCGTGCACCCCGTCCCTTCCAGCAACCACCAACTGTCTCCTGGAGGCAGTATGGACGATGTAGTGGGTAATACACAGGTAGGCACCTTGTCAACATGCACATCAAGCGCAGCCACATCGGGGATATCATGCAACAGCCAATCACTTGAAACGATAAAATGAAATAAAATGAATCTAATAATGCATACAGATACGGTGGGATAACTCTTCGCTAAATTAGCATATGAAGTAATTTGGTTAGCAATGAATCCGCGATAAGGAGAAAATGTCCACAAGTTACTCCAAAATGCTACAAACGCAACAAAATTACCGAAGATAAGCGCGATTGGCGTAAACAACGTGGCCAGCCAATAGAAGACTATCCAGATAGGCAAAGCAAACCAAATTAACTGGAATGAAATTTATGCAGCTTAAAGAGACCTAGTTTAAGTGTAAGTTGGCTTAGCCCAACTGCGGTGAAGAAGCATCAAGAATGCAACATCAGCCTCAGCATGGGGCATGTATATATATATATATATATATATATATATATATATATATATATATATCTGTGACACAGACGTTGTGCCCAAGGAATCATGAAGGAATGAGAAAACCGGACAGGATAGCATAAAACATGCAATTTATTTTGCCAAGTATCCTATTCCCATGATCAAATGAGATGGAAACGCCTCATAGTAGTGTAGTGTTTTCTGGCGGGCAACACCGAATTTCTATATTCTTCAGCTACGGTCCTTTTGCCCGAAAATCAAGATTCTCTTCAATGGGAATCGTGGTCAACATTGAGATTTCATGTCGCAATCCATCCACACAATGTGTAATTCAAAATGACCCTCAAAATTTCCACAAACTTCTGAAGCAATGTTAGGCTTTTCATATTCGGCGATAAGGATCTGACCTTACGCGTTTTTCATAATGAGTGGGCTATGTACAACATAAAAAGGAACGGTCCCCGCCATTTTGTCGATTTGCAGTAGTGAATAGCTATCAAGAGGGGCGTAACAATTGACAGCTTGGCTATAATTGACAACCATCCCTCCATTATATTTCCCATTTTTGAAAACGGATACTTACACTCTTCATTGGAAGCTTGACAGTCCAATGATGTCATCGTCCGAAAGATGGTGTGGTTCTTCCTGCGTTCAACGTTCGCACTCTAAGATAAGTAGGTTAACGCGGTGCACTCGCGCGTACATTGGACACCCTGGGTAATGATGTAGGTTGCTTGTCTGAAACTATGATCAATGATCGTCACGGGGCTGTTGAACTAACTGCACCTGGAGTGTCCCCTCGCCAATGTTTGCACGCATCTGGCGACGCTGATGCGGTAACCACTGTGGTGGGCATTGTCCTAAGCTCTAAGGCTGTCATTGTTTGTTGATTTGGTTCCGTGGGCAACCATTTGTTTGCAGCTCGTTTGACGACATAAGTTAAGGTTGGCTGCTCGAAGTTTATTTGTGGTTTCCGCGTATATTCCCACCGACTGCAGTTCTTATGCTGCCAAAGACACCTTCCACCACGAACGGAAGACGCTGCTTCGCGGAGTTACCAGTTCAGATGTCATAGTTACTACAGGGTATGTGAATTCGCCAGCAGGTCGTTTTTGCTCTTCAGTAGCTCAGCTAAGTGCTATGTGTAGACTTAACTCTGACCGGAGTGACAAAGGCGAGCGTCTTTTGCAACAGTACGTGGAGCACCGGCTGTTTCTTAGTAGCACTGTTTTTCGAAATAGTGGGTGCCGAATTGCCGCTTGGGGTCCTTTAGTAGCTGATCATTGACGGACCCAAATTGAACGTGCCGTAACTTGCGGATAGTGAGGTTATCGTTCGTTTTTGGAGTAATTGCGTCGACTCTGATCATGCTTTGGTACTATGTCGTTTTCTCGGTAAAAACCGAGAAGCGTACAAAACAGCTTCCTCGATTAGCAACTGAGAAGTCATCTCAGTCCTCGGTCAGGTAAGCCTATCAAGATGCCATGCTTTCGTTCTAATCATAACTTCAGTGGGGTAGGATCTCTGTCGCCATGCACGATGTGGAGGTCTCTGCTTGCGGCACTATCCATCGCCACTACACAGTCACTCGATATCCGAGAAATCGGCGCACCTGTTGGAATCCAGAAGCAAACTCTCGGTTGGCTTTGAGTGCATTGTAACCAGAACGCCTCCTAGGTTCTACCTAAATTGGATCCTGCGTACTGACAAGGAAGCTTGGTAGCTTATTTGGCCTCGAGAAATGCAGTGTTCGGGAACAGTAAGCAATCGTCGTACATTTTTGCAGTTGATCCTCGCTACTGGTCCCAGAAAACCAGTCGTCGGTGTATCCTTACTCACGATAAGGAGCGCCACATGCCTTATCGGGCGGTGCGCTTTAGGGAGCGGTTCAGACGGCCGTCTGCTTCTGGACCTCTTCCTACTCAGGTGGTGCATGCTGACGCATGACCATTTACTTTGGACGTTCCGTCGGAGGCTGAGGTCCGAATCGCGATCACAGCCCCCAGTCTTTCTCGAGCTACTGTCCAAGACTCCCTCGCATCCGCACTAGATAAGAATAGTGTAGAGATCATCTTCAAAGCACTGACCACCCTGTTTGAACAGATCTGTATGGAAGAGGTCATCCTAGTTAACTACAGTGAATCGATTATAGTAACACTATACAAGAAGGGTAGTCGCGTTGACTGTGCAAGACACATGGGTATTATTCCAACGCTGGTGGGCGCAAAAGTACTGGTCTCATTATTCTTCGTCGCTTCACTGAGGAGCGGGAATTCCGAATTACGGAAAAACAAGCAGTTTTCCTTCCAGGGCTAGACTGTATAGACCACATATTCACTGCGGCAGGTGCTGGAGCAGAGCCACGCATACCGACAGTAGCCGTGTTCATTGATTCCAAGCGTGCGTTCGATTCAGTCGATCTACGCATTCTGTTCGAAATACTTACACGGAAAGGTGTTACCATGAAATATGTGAGCATTTTACATGCCCTGTGTTTAGCAATAGATCGGAATACCTGTAGCTCGGGTGGTCTGTTCACCTTTTGTTCCGTTCTCCGAGCTGAACAGTTTCTTTGCAAACGTTTCATCACCAACCGGGCTGACTTCTTCATTACGTAGTAAGCAAATTGAGTGGTTTGTCGACTCTTACCGACGAGCTTACTTGGAACTTGCCCACTTCGATTCGTGTCCCGTGACCGTTGCTAGTTCGCATTTCGGGTGCCGCCTCTTTTCGACTCATGTGCTAAATGACCCACATAAATTCTTTTTTCGCAGCTGTTGGTATACCGGGTCTAAGTCGATGAGCTGGTTTATTGAATTCTCTGTTGAGAACCACGCTTCGAGAAATCCTCTCCCTTTTCTGCTCTCTGTATTTGATCACCACAGACCGCATCAGGGTCTACGGTGATTTGTGTAATGTTTTTCCGACAACAGTTGGCGTTCGTCAAGGTTGTCCAATTTCCCCTCGGCCGGTGGCCATGTGGTCTGCACGTCTGGCTTGCAATCAGTAGGTCACTGGTCCGAATCCGCGTAGGGGCGGGCGCCCTCGCGGTATACTCAGTTCACGCGCGTCTGGTGAGGGTCGCGCGGCGGCGAAGCGCCGTCACGGCGTATGGCTGACAATTTATTTTTCCAATTTTCCCATTTTCGTTCAACTTCGTCGTGGTCTGCATCATAAAGTGTTCCCTTGCGGAATCTCACAATGGGGATGTTGAGGTTCTGCCTGGTGAATGATCTTCATTGTGCGGACGATATTGTCCTGCTGTTTAACGGTTTTGACATGGCTCAGTCAATCGGTTTTACTTCTCAAGGATGGTGCCATCGTTTCGCACCTTCAAACTGAAAAGTGTTGTTGCAGGACCACCAGCCACTTGCTCACTCCTTGACCATTGAAAGCGAGGGACTTGAGGTAGTTGATCAGTTCATTTGCCTTTGCAGCTTCATCATCAATAACAGGCGCATAACTACTGAGGTCAGTTCACCGATTGCGAAACGTAGAACTGACTTCTTGAACCTGAGACATCTTCGGCGTCAGGAGAGGGTTCCCCTTCTTCTAAAAGACCACAGTTTTAACCGCCCTCCTATTGGAGTGAAACTTGAAGCGCCTCAATTTTTTGATAATCTCTGCCTGCGGAGCGTTGCTGATGTGGGATGGCACTAGTGTATCCGCAACGATGATATGTGTAGGTTAATGCTGTGCCATGATAATCAGGCTACTTCCGTATAACAGCAAATGATTTTGAATAACTTGTATTGGCCTTGGCATGCGTTACGCATGTCCGATCACCACTTATCGAGTAGCGCCTGATTTGTTTACCAGATGTGACATGGCGTAAGACTAGATTTGGGCGAAACATTATTTGGGAGAAAAAAGTTGAAGTCACTGACCACGAAACTGGTTCTGTCTGTCCGCCTCGCCTTCGGGACTGTAGTCCGCGCGACCCGCATTGTGTTTGGCTCAACACTTTACGGGACATGACTCACAGTCGTTATCAGTGGCGCATATGCTGTCGTTCCCCGGTCGTTCTGTTTGTTTTAAGTACGTTTGGTGCTGATTACTACGGGAGTCAGTGGAAGCCACAAGGTAGATGTCTCACCGATCATTGCACTATGTCCAGCTATTTAGGCGGCATTTTTTGACATTGCGTAGGCCCTTGAACTTGAATGTCTGCTAGGCACATTCAGGCTTTATGCTTGTTCCCTTTCTGTCGTTTTTATAAATCTTCGTTCCGTAGGTCACTGTGGTTGCTTGACAGTGACGAATCACTTGAAATCGCTTTTGTACTGCCTTTGATGATGATGGTGATGATGATGATCTAATCTTTTTCAAGCAGATTATTCCATTGTGATGGTTATTATTCTCGAAATCTCAAGTGAACAATGCGCGAGTCCAAAACTTTCTTAATCTCCGACATCGACTTTGCTTCGACTACGTCTGCTTTCTGGTTGTTCCAAATATTCACGACCCTCCGTTCGGAGCAGAGTTGGTGAGCGACCTCTTCAGATCCGGTACGACAAGATTGTACCGGTGTCCTCGTGTGGTGCTTGGTGTGCGCAGATGAAGCAGCGGCCTCAACATGGGGTAATCACCCAGGTGTAATATCCAGTGCGTCATGATGAAGTCAACACGGTCTTCATATGGCACACCTCGTAAACCGGGGATGAGCCTCGTGGCCACATGCTGTACCCTCTCAATCCTTTGCATCTCGCCCCTTTGGAGCTGTACTCTAGCATTGGTCCGATGATAGAAGAGCAGAGGTGGGTGGTAGCTACTTTGGACCAAGTGCAGAAGCTGCTTTTGAGTGCCCAGAGCATGCGCAGTCCGTTTTGGTACAGCCTGTTCATGTTTCCAACGGATTTCATGTTGCAGCTTGAGGGTACACCGTGATCATTCAAGGATGACTACTGGTGTACCTGTTGCCTGGCCAGATTGCAGAATGGGCCATTACCACGCCCAGGTTCATGAATACCGACTTGACCGGGTTGATCGGAATGTTGGCCTTTACTGACCACATGGAGAGGTGGTCAAGGTCACGCTGAAGCAGGTCACAGTCGTCGCGCGCGTCAATTACCCTTTATACTTTAAGGTCATGTGCAAGAAACGCGATGAACTAAGAAGCTGAGGCAACTCGTTGATGTGGATCAGGAATAAAATAGGTCCAAGAACTGTGCCCTGCAGGATAATGATGAAAACTGCACTCTTCATCTACTGTTTAATGTTTCGCGCGTTACTGGTCGGTATTTTTCTTATCCCGTTCTTGCCTATAAGCATTTCTAACTTACTTGAGTCATCAGACTGAATCTGTTTTATGAAAACGTTTAATGTTCGAAAGTAGTAGATCCACTGTTTGGAAGCGCCAAATGCATTTTGATCATTGTCGAATTTGTGTGGTCGAATATCCCTCTATCCATCTAAATGTTAGACCTGTAAATTGATAGGTTGAACGGAGGTAGCACGACAAACGGGATAATTTGGAGATGAATGAGTACCGCGTAATTACGTGAGCTGGAATGTGAAATGGTAGGTCATGATTCGATAGGTAAAAGCTAAGCAAGTAAGTGAAAAATGAGAGGATTGTCCTGTTCTCCAAGCCGGGCATTTCTGTTGCAGACGTTTCGTTACCAAACTAGGCAACATCTTCAGTGCCGCACTGAAGATGTTGCCTAGTTTGGTAACGAAACGTCTGCAACAGAAATGCCCGGCTCGGAGAACAGGACAATCCTCTTATGCACACCCCGAGCAACAGGTAATCTCAATAAGTGAAAAATGCTTAGTACGACAATACGCTGATGGATCCTTGGTTTGACCCTATACACAGATCGCCTGTAATCGCCAATCTGCTATACAACGAAGCTACTGCATCTTCCATGATTTCCCATACGTAAATATCGTCAAAACCCTCGCACATGTCGAACCTTTGCGCCGCATTTAGTAGATCCTGTCTTACCGTTACAAAAGTACACGAATTCTTCGGAGATTGACTTCTTTGGCTGCTTTTTAATATGATACATTGACATTTTAATGTCTCCAACGGTCACCTTCAGTCAGCCTTCTAAAAATCTCCATTTTTTGTCTTTATCTATCTCGGTGAACGTGTCTAATCAAGTCCCATCGCTATCGCCTCTTCCTGGTGTGGTAATAAATGATTTTTTTTGTCATTGTAGTACCTTTACTAGTGCTTGCCATTCTCCTAGTGATTTTATTTGAACGTCCTCTTAACTGCGCACCTCATTTGTCTCCCAGTCATCAGATTCTTTACTTGCCAAGCGAACACCACTACTTGATCTGGCTGTGACTCGCTGGCCGAACCGTTGCATCCATTATCTTGAAGCTTTATCAGGGTTCTTTCCCCTTGAGGAGAGTTTACTTCCTGGGGACTCTTCGGTTGACACAGATCCTTCTCAACACTGTTTACGACAAGCTTGGCGCCCACTTGCGCAAAGGTTGCTTGTTCACCTCTACCTGAGATGGCCCGGTTTGGTTTATTTGATGCGTTCCTGTGAGGCAAGACAACTGGTTCGATATCGGATTTCCTCATCCCCAAGCATGAACGAGGAGACTAACTGTGTCAAAGAGATGTATACGGCGCCTCCATTTGAGGTAATTTGCTTCGTTCCAGGTTCCTGGCACCTGATTCTTTTTTGGTGTCTTATATGATACGATTAGTCAGATTTGCGCAGGTTGCGAACTTGTCACTTGACGCAAGTGCTTTTGACATTAGAACGAGTAATTTGGTGTTTTAGTTTAGCGTACAACAATTGCTACGGAGACGCGCCTTTTCAGGAGAATTTTTCCTACCATCTGTACATTTGTTGCGTGTAGCATCATTTTTATTGATTCGTTGCATTGTGTTTAAGCTTCCACCAACATCCTAACGTTTTCCAGTATTCGACACGATCGGTCCCTATAGCCCGGCTGCTCCGTGTATAGTGGACGTATTTGTTTCACAAATGTTTTAATCGGTAGCTGATAACGGACATACATTTTTCCTGACTTCATGTACGTTAGTTGATGCACCCGGTTTATCCAGGTTTCACTTAGGAAACCTTAATTACTCTCTAGTGCCACGTATCTGACTTTTACCGTATCCATGACGCTTTCATTTGGAGCACACTACTGCTTTTCGGGGATCTCTCCTCCTCCACACATATCATCATTGTTTCCACGTTTAGATCGATCGCCTGGGTTCACTTATCCTTGTCGGACTGACTTCTGCCAACAGCACAGTTTGTGGAACGGCGCGACATGCCACCCAAGCCATGGCGATATATCATCCGCACGCATTTCTTCGTCTTTTACCTATATTGGCTGCTCTAAGTGAGGGTCGAGTTGGGTTGAGTTGGTCACAGTTTTCTGCCCGGTCTTATCATGTGCTCTTCGCTCACTTTCTCCGTTTGTTGGAGCTTCTGGCTTTTTCCACAATACACGATAATACGGAAACTACTGTATCTACTCCAACAGCAAATGTGCTCGAGTACACGGGCACGCTATTCAGCCCATTGGCAACCGAATATAGGTAAGCAAGTTCGTTGATTTGCCTGACATTTTTGCTCAGTTCGCATTTATTTTCCGTCGAACTGAATGAAATTGGATCATAGTATTTCTCACTGCGCACATGTTCTATTAATAAAACTGCTCTATTACAAGCGAATTTTCTCGTGTTATTGTTCGAACACTTTTCAACCAATCTTGTGTATACGAACGGATCAGTTCGCCCTGTCTTAACACCACCGCGGTCTCACCTTAGGGAGAAGTCTGTCCAATCGATTGGTGAACCTCCTGTGTATATTCCCCTCCTTTCACATTCTCGTTCTTATGATCAAAAATGAGTATCCTAACGCGCCATAGGATCGGTGCTGCATCTTACACATATTTTATCCCTCAGGCATATTATCATGCATATTTCTAACGCTCCTGCTTCGGATTAGTTCTTTCCGACCACGAACCTCTCAGCGAACGGAGTTATGCAAGTGTTTCGCATACAGCGGTTATCAAAGTAGCATACCCCTGTTTTCATCGTTTTGCTGGCTTTCACGTTGCTCTTTCGCTAGACAGTCTTATCCTGCAATAGAGTATCGTGCTTTACGATCAATGCTTTTACCTTCCTGACAGCTCCTATCACTATAGCGAATGGTAGAGTTCTTTTCTAATCATAAAAATGCCATCATTCATGACCAACCTGAGCGTTGACTACAATCAGTGTATGTTCACAGGTATTGTGTTGCTTTATTGGCAGATCGTCTGTTAGTTTAGGCAACGACCAACGGTGCTACAGACTTCTCATCGGTGACATTTCCGTCTAGTTAACGGCAGTGATGACGCAAATTGGGTAGGTTTCCCGAAGCCCCGGCTCCCCACTTCGTTGAAACTTACTAGTATGCTCCAATTTCACAAGGTGCAATCCCGTCCATTAAATGCCCATCGGTATACACAGGTTGGCACTACTCATTCAACCTTTTCTTCCTCCACATTGTGGCCGTCGGATTTGAGTACTATTCCATCTGCTAGCTGAAGCACCAAACCGTTTTGCTATTCGGAATCACCCTTTTTCGATGTTTGGGTGTGCGTTATCTACTCTGATTACTGTGTTTACTTTTTGTGTGAATTGTTTCCACTTAGATTTGATTTGTGATTTGATTTCATGCCATATGAGCTTCTAGTGCTACAGCCGTCGAACACCTTGACATATATTCCCTTTAAATTGCAAGTTTATTATGCTGCCTTTTCTGGTTCATCTCAGTCCTGAGGGTATCAACATGACTGATTTTTGATATTTTTCAGTGAATGCATTGATCGTCTACTTGCTAACCTGGTGAGTATGCTTGCCCGATTCTACACTCCATCAAGGCGTCTAAATGTATTGGCCAATAAGCTCGCTCGATTGCTCGAGCTCTACTGCCAGAATGCACCATGGATCACCGGTCCCACTAGAGGCAGCGCACTTCTGGATGCGAATCAAAATGTGATCAATGAAGTGGAGATTTTGGCCTCCGAACTCGATGAGTTTCGTTATGTGTTAAATCTCCTCTCCTACAGTGTTAATTCTGATAAGGAGCAAAATGAACAGACCAATTCAGGTCGGTCTTCACTTTGCACCTTGAACTCTGGGAGCTTCAGTAAGCTGAACCGAAAATGGAGTCTATCCGCAATTTCACCATTCATACAACAGCTGAGAAATTTTGCCAATGTTCGGGGTAGGTACAGTCATCTCGCCTTTTGATCGATGTTTTTTACACTTTCTATCGCTGACTTTCTCATGTTACTTTTTTCTTAGATAGGAACTCGCATTTTTGCTTTACGCTACAGCCACTAGCCTTGATGTCTATCTTCGGACTTCGAGTGTACATATTCAACGTCATATTCCTTAATATTTAATGTGTGTTGAGTGGGGATAATAGTGTGGCGCGTTATTTGCAACTTTTATTACCTCTCTAACTTGATACCTGTCCAAGCGAAAGTGCGCACACTTCCTTACTTTCGCGCTTCTTTGAAAACCTCGTGTTTTATAGCTGAAGGCACCTTTGCTGTCACCATGATCCATAAGTTGTTTTCTGCAGAGATCTATCCTTTACAATGAAATTTACGCATTAAACCGACTGGAGGGTCATTTTGATATGAACGTTGTATGACTGGATCGCGACTCGCAATTTCCACAGTAGCTCCTGATTTGCATTGAAGGAAACCTTGGTCAATTCTATCACTAGCACCGTCGCGAATGAAGCAGAAGGAAGTTGGATTTTGCCCACCCGAGAACACTGCGCTCTACGACGCGATTAGACCGTATTTTGAAGAAAAAGTTCCATCCCTATACATTCCATGAAAATTATATTTATCGGTCTCCTTTTCTGTAATCAGTACGCACACCAAACTGCTTATAATGCCATAAGATCATTGGCGGCTTAAGTTTGGTAAGTTCGTCGCTTGATAAGTCTACCCTGTCCTCTGCACGGTAGTAACGTGCAAGTCAGTGGATAGTGAGCGGCTCTACATCACATCTAGTAACTTTACCACGACGGTCGTTGCCGTTCCCCGTAGCTCAGTGGTCTTAACCACAAACTGGGAACAGTCGAATTGCAGTTCCGAGCCCTACAAGGGTCAGATGAAATGCGCACTGCTGACGATTCCCGAAAGGATGAAACGGCCTTACAGTGCTTTTCCGGGCGTGTGCTAGCTGTCTGAGTGTGTAGGGTCCACCGGCTCCACCTTCTGGGTTCACTCATTGTCCTATTTGCCAAATATTTAATGCTATGCCTTGCACCAATGGTTTTAGTTGCCTGGTTTACATCATCTATGCCTTAGCCTTGAGTCCGCGCTCCGATGCAGATTCCAGTGCCCCAGCGTTATCGCGGCTGGCGTACAAACGCCGTCAAATGGAAAACATCATGGTTACTACTTCCCTTGATTGATTTTCCAGTTTCCAGTGTCTAGGGATTGTCGGTCTAACATGTGCATCTTACGAGGTAGACTAATTTTTGGTTCGGCCTTTTTCTCCCGTTGAAACAATCTATTCGCAGTAGACAGATTCTCAGTATCGCTGCTGCAGATACTATGAAGGACGAAAGAACGGATTCTCATGTTCATGGTGGTTAGTGGTGCAAAATCTCTAGCTTCTGTAAAAGCAGCCTTCGGCTTTAGAGGTGCTGTGCTATTTGGAGGCTTTGGATGCAGCTCTATGACAGGGGTCTGCAGCGAGATTGCTAAAATGGATGTGAACGAACGGGGCATCTGCCCCGTTTGATCAAGGTGGTGTCAAAAGATGATCAGGTTTTAAATCGCTTTAAATATGTGCTGATACTGCAAGAACATGCTTCACACGATCATTAGGCACATAATTTCAGTGGCCACCTATGTCTACACACACAGCACATTCTCATTTCTTCATCCAGGTTTATTGTCAGCTAGTGATTCCACGCCTGGCTGTGCAAAAGAATCATGGACTTCAAATTGAACCAGAGACGTACCTATCTACGAATCAATACATAACGCGCATGACATTGGTGATATATATAGTAGTATATATAGTATATAGTAGTCATCAGTAAACTATTGGAATGTCGATCTATTCCTTGTTTTCTTCTACGGCGAAGATTGTCTCCGTCACCTGTTTCTGTAAATTGGTGACCCTGACTTGAGACGAACACGCAACCTTCTGAATGCCATTTCCTCTACTCTTAGCGGATATCTTCGTTTATTGTCCCACTACTGGTGACTTGAATAACTTCGTTACTCAAAAAGAATCTCATGCACATCACTTGATTGCGTGTCCATCCGTGCTACTTAAAATCGCGGATTTCCACAACCACACCTGCTGACGATAACTACCAGTTCGCCCATAGGCTTCAGTGCTCCACATTCGATATCGTAACATAACGTCTTCACTTCCTATCCTCTGAGTTGTATACAAATTGCAGACCCTTAGTTTTTCTCATTCTTGGCTATTCAAACGCTGTCGGAAACCTGGATTGATCAACACTTGTCGATCTGATTTTCTAGGACCGGTTCACTCAAATGTGTGCGATTTGTTCTTAGACTCTTCTTCATTCTGACCATCTTTCTGCAGGGATCGATTCTCTCATATTTACTATGTTTTGTATATCGAGTTCATCTGACCACACCAAAGACAATGCATACTGAATACTGGTTCGAAGCAGCGAGTAGAGCTTTCTCTGTGTAGCTGCATCATTCGTCGCTCTTGGACATATACTCCTTATTTATCGTTCCGCTCTCTAAATTTTGCCTCTGCAAAGTGTTTGTCAAGGAGCTTCTTAAATTCCGACACTGAGTTCGCCTCTACTATGTGCTGCGGCAGGTCGTTCTATACATTCACCACTCTGCGTTCGAAACATAGTTGGTGAGCGACCCGCTTCAGCTCCGGTACGATAAGTTTATACCGGTGTCCTCGCGTGCTGCTTGGTGTGCGCAGATGAAGCAGTTGTCGCAACATGGGGTAATCACTCAGATGTAATATCCGGTGAGTCATGATGAGGTCAACCCTCAGTCGACGATAAGCTAGGGTGTACAGCCCTAGTTTCTTACATCGATCTTCGTATGGCATACCTCGTAAGTTGGGAATCAGCCTGGTGGCTATATGCTGCACTCGCTCAAGCTTTTCTACCTCGCCCCGGGTGATGGGACAATACGCGGGGAGCCGTACTCTAGCATTGGTCGTATTATCGAGACGAAGAGGCGAGTGGCAATCCCTTCGGACCAAGTGCTGAAGCTGCGCCTGAGGACTCAAAGCATCCGAAGGCTGTTTTGGTACAACCTATTCGTGTTGTCAATGGACTTTAGGTCGCAGCGTGAGAGCACACCGAGGTCGCGCACGAAAGGCGCGGGATGCAGCGGTTGACCAGCCACTGTGTACGTTCGGCTGTGCTCACACTTACCCAACCTCATAAATTGCGACTTGGCAGGGTTGATTGGAAGGTCGACCTCTGCAGGCCATGTCGAGAGGCGATCGAGGTCCTGCTGAAGTAAATCACAATCATTGAGTGTGCGGATTACTCTCCACACCTTCAAGTCATCTGCGAACAACGCACAAGGTGATTGGAGTAGTTGAGGCACATCGTTTACATGGATCAGAAAAAAAATCGGCCCCAGTACAGTGCCTTGGGGCACGCCACTGCTCGATGGATACCAGTCGGTTAGATGGTTGTCCACCTGGACCCTCCACTTTCGATCAACAAGGAAATTTCTGATCCATTTGCGCAGCGAACCACCAACACCACACATCCTCAGCCTGTCAAGAAGCACTGCATGGTCAACCTTATCAAAAGCCTTACTGAAGTCAATGTAAATGACGTCGACCGATTGGCCTTGGTTCAGCGCTTGTAATCATTCGTGCCTCCTCAACAGTAGGTTGGTGATGTACGAGCGACCTTTCATGAAACCATGCTGTGCGGAGGTCAACCAGTTTTTCGACTCGAGAAGCTGCAGTAGGCTCTTCTTCACGATCTTCTCGAGCGTCTGCCAAAACAGCGGTCAGGCAGATCGGCCGGTTACCACCTTTCGGTATGGGCTTTACGACTGAACATTTCCAGTCGTCCGTAACAGTCCAGTGGATAGTGACCTGTTAAACAGTTCAGTTACAGAAGGCGCGATGATGGCCGATAGGGACTTGAGGATCAGTGGGTGTATACCATCTGGCCCAGCAGGCTTCGTCCCGTCAAGATTTGTTAGAAGCTTGCGTACATCCTCATTATTGCAGTCCAGGCTGTTAAGTTCGGCTGGAGCAGTACTCGTCGAACTCGTTACAGACACCTGATCACTTGCAAATATGGAGGCGAAGTGCGCCGCCACTGCGGACGCACGATCTGTACTCGAGGTTAGGGGCTGTCCTTCTGAGCCTTCTAACACTGGGACATTGGCTACAGGCCTCAGGCGCCGCTTCACGTATGCGAAGATGCTCTTGGGATCAATTTTTGCGGCGGTTGCAAGCTCCTCTTCGAAGCTTCTGCGTTTTCTTGTTTTCGCGTTGTTGCAGCGATTTCGCTGTACCTTGTACGCCTTGTCGTCCGCATCAGAGACAGATAACACGAATTTGTTCCATAGTCTGCGTCGTCGTCGGGCCAGTTTGTTGTACTCTTTGTCGAACCAATGTGGTTTGACTGGCCCAACTTTCCGAAATTTGAGGGGTACAAATCCGGCGCACAACGATTTCACTCCCTCTTTAATGATAGTCCAACAGGTTTCAATAAATGAATCCTGTGGTAAAGACCAGTCTAATCCTGTGGAAATATTTTCTGACTGAAGTGTTATGCTGCTGATGTGCTATCATGTATGGTTCTCATTGCTCAGCTCTCTTCTGCCCTTCAACTTGTGATGCTTTTCATTCATACATCTTAACATTTTCATATGTATATATATATATATATATATATATATATATATAATTCTTTTATAGCTGCTGATAACTTGTGATCATAAACACCTTGTCTGTTCTGACTACGAGGAACAATAACGTACCTAGGTCATCCACCGTCAAGTTTCTCGGTATTTTTTTTGCCTCGAAACGTCTCTTGGTCTACACGCGTTCGTGATGCATCTAAGTTTAACACATTATGCGTAGGTCCTCTTGAAATACTCGCCGTACGTATAGCTTGCGACACTAAATCTCATCAGGGCTATAATTCACCTGGGATAGAACTATGGGACAGCATCTGAAGCGGATAAATGTTTGGTGATACCCATTCACAACTTTATTTTCCCTACCTAACGAGAGCAAATAAGTACATTAACAATCGTAGAAAGTGTTGCCTGCCGCTACTCAGTTACTTAGGGGCGCAGGCTTCTACTATCTCAACGTCCGGGTTTCAAACTACTATACGAAACTGGTTGTGGAGTTAAGTTTTGATGGCAGTCATCGCTTGACAAACATTTGCTTTAGAGGCTTGTCTTTTTGCGCTCTTCGACCTAAGTTTCTGTGCCCATATTACTAGACACGACTGATTAAGGCTTTGATGATTCAAGTAAACGCAACGTTTTCCTTCCTCTCTTTGTTTTTTTAATCTCTCGAAACTGGGATGGTGTGAGGTTCCTAGCGAAAAATTAGTATTCCACCAGCCTGAACTGAAACCGCCAACTTTCAGTCTAGATTGTGCTTGACTGTCTCATTGCTTACACTCAGTTTGGGAATTCAAGAGACAATGTACGTTTCCTGGATCATTAATGTGTTTCTTGTTTTTCGCTCGCATGAACACCTTTCTACCGTGTTTGTGTGTTTTGCCGAGTTAACTCCGACTCATAGAGTCAATTGTGAGCAGAAATTCAGATTTTCATAGACCACTTCGCCATTTTGACAGTAATTAACATTAACTGATGTTGACGATACGAAATGGGTCGGCGAAATTATGTACAACATTTATAAGGAAGTTGCACTTATGATTGAAATACTTCCATGTTAAATCATTATCGCGACTGCAGAAGCATCCTCCTTATTTTTACGCAACAGGCATCTGCTTCCAAGGCCTAGGCGTTTTAACTGGGTTTTTGCCCCTCTTGTTTCTTGTTCTTCATTGTTTTGTTTATGTCAATGTTAGGTCGCTGCTAATCGCCGACATAAAATTTGGTGCTCGGATCCGCCACACACTCCCGCTGGAATTTTTGGTAATTGGACTTACATATGTTTGCTATGCTGCTCGTGCTGGGTCGCCTGTCGCCGTTTAAGCCAAATTAGCTTCTCGTTCGAATCGGAATAGTTCACGATTGTTTTATCTGTCTTTTACAGACCCGCGAGTGAATATCCTGCTGTCGGCTACTATGTAGTTTCGACTCCCTTTTTCATTCCAACGTGACGTAATCGGGAGGATTGCTGAGACACCTATTTTGGTATAGCCCACGTTTTCTTTCTGTTGCCGTAGAAAATCCATTCCTCTTTACTTTAGCATGCAAGATGCGCATTCCGCACCAGTGAACGCTTTCGACCAGTTGGCATTTCTTAGTGCCCCGTTTCGATCAGTCTTGCATTTGTGGTGGACGCACGCATTCATGCTAATTGTTTGCAACCCAGCAAGCCGTGGACGCACCTCTTGTCACTGACAGCATCCGCTTCTCTCCTCTTTCTCTTTTAGACATTTTATTGGTTTTAGAAGACTTGGACAATGCCTCCAGACGACGGATAGATTCATTGCTTTATTTCAAGGTCAGTTCCCGAACTATATTTCTTCCTTTTACCACATGGGGCTACTATGATCTACACCACGCCTCTTTGCCGTAGTGCGTCAACTGTTTTCTCGCATACCTGACGCTAATTCCCGCTTGGATATCCTAATTTCTGCTTCGTATGATACTGCTATCGGTCAGGTACTGCTGTTCTATTTACTGAACCTATTAGACGGTGTAGAATTTCTGTGAAAATGCTAGGTTTATTGCGACGGCTTCCTTAGATCAGAAGCTCCGTGAATTGGTGTGGCACAGCAGTGAGGTTTGGACTTTTAAAAATACCCCATACATGTGTGTGTTCGATGTGAAAAATGTGTTCTCCACTGGAGAACTCTGGAGTAGATTGGCAATGACTTGATGGGATTAATGTATTGTGGCGTTTTTAGCTACCAGGTTGAATCCATGTACATAGAGGCATCTCTCAGGATATGATGGTGAATTCAATTTATCTAACGATCAGTAAGGTAACAAAAAATTTGCTGTATCTACACGGACGTCAACTCGAGCTGAGGGCTTGTCGAGGGTTTGCCTTGATTGACAGATATCCATACATTCAGAACTTGAATATGAAGTGAACTTTGGTCCTCCACCCACGCTGGGCACACTTGATGTGGTAATTCGTCCAGAATACTGATTCTCAGCCTGGGGGTAATTACCATCGAGGGGCTAAACTGGAATTTTCCGGGGTGTAAATATAAGTGCGAGAATTGCGTGACTAATCTGCTGCCAAACATGTAATCAAACTGTCTAATCACTATTGATTAGCTATCTGTGAATGATCATCAGCAATTGGCCAGCGCATTAGACAATTATCAGTATTAAGTTTTATTAACTAAAATATGAATACAAGCTTGCAAAGCAGCGCACCTATCGGTTCGCTTGTCGATCGTAGTTCTTTTGAGTGAGGCAGTCGTCCACCGGGTGGAAGTACAGAGTTTATTGAACACTAAGCTGGGAGCATATGTCAGCCGACCACGCAAAGAAGCAAGCGCATATTTACAACGTAGAAGGGACAAAACAGGTGATTGGTATTCAGATTCTAGCGAAATAGAGTGGTAAGGGGAACCTGTCATCCAAGCCGGACTTGAAGGGGATGGCTGAAACAAATGAGAAACCAATGACATCTGTTCATGCTTGGTCAGGGATCACGCACCAAAGCAAGGAATCGAACGAACTTGAGCACGATTTCCGGTGTGCATTGGCCGAAAGCGCACCAAATATATCAGAAATTGTTAGAACTAAACAATGGCAACTGTCTCATTAACGTCCATCACCTCGATACTGTAAACATTGTTCAAAAATGGGTGTTTTCTTCATTTGGATGATCGAAAGCAATTGAAAATATCATTTATTTTCCGTAATTAATCAATGGGCAATTAGCTTTTAAACTAAATTTCTTTTAAGACAGGTAATTGTTTATAGTGGACCCGTTTTGGATATAACAACCACACAAAAGTTGTGAACCACTGGTCTATAACAATTCTTGGTGTGCTTCACGGGGTAACACGCTACGGCTCTGGGGTGTCCAGTAACTGGTAGAGTAAAAGTATTCATGTTTGCGGTAGATGAACGGGATAATAGAATTGAAACCCCCCGGACAGTGTCAGAGTAATGGTTTATAGGCTGCCACAAATTTCCAGAAGGAGGTGCGGAAGCATTTCACTTTTAATGTGATGTTAATATCTTAGGGGACTATTTTTGCAGATTGTATTTAAATACTACTCGTATAAGTAATATGTTTCTTTCTGTAGCTTGACAACTGCAGGTATTCAGCCGTAAACTGACAGCTTTGTTTCGGTTCCGACTTGCTTTCAAGTTATGCTGTTGTTCGAACGTGATCTCTCGATTAGGCTCAGGTTATCTACCCTTCGCATATTACCAAACATTTTACTGTTACCTACGGTTGCTGAAACGTTGCAAGTGAATAGGTGAGTAGCGTCATCCACTACATTGTCCGGATTTTTTGTGTTGGTAGGAGTGACACTTTGACCCGTATCGCTGCAGGGCTGCTCTAAGGCTAAATTCAGTTGTAGCCATAGCGAAATCATAAAATGAAGTTTGGGAAACTATTACCTTGGGATGAGTCCGAAATCCACAATAGATTCGTCGCTAGGTTCCGTGTCTGTTTGGCGATTATTAAGAATAATACGTGGTGACTCTGTCTTTGAATTCGACCTAATTTGCCTTTATTTCCTTTTGAAGTGGCGTTTGATCGTGGTACGCTTTTAATCGGTGTTGATAACAATTAACCTCCTTTTCTTGTAAAATTGCTGGGCATGACGTTCCTTCGTAATGTTCATTAGGATTGGATACGTTTATTTTGGACGTATAAAGTGGTATTCCGCACCCCTCACACCAAGTGCAATAAGAAAGACACGCCTTACAGTTTCCAGGTGTATTTTCGCCAGTATATTGAAGATGACAACATATATCGAGACCGGTTTATCCTTTCGCAGATTTCTGTCGTGAGCGACGGAAAGATAGATGCGGCCACTTGCAGGCGATCTGCATTACGTTTACCAGGCACATTTACTGATTAGGATATTGATGTCAGATTCTCAATCACCTGACTGATTTTCTTGAACTTTTTGTTTAACACGGTTATCTCACTTTCAAGGCTGTGGACTTTAACGACAACTTCAGGTGTTAGGTTAGGCAGTAGAACCATGCTCCTAATTTTGATTCTTCTCATCGGTCGTATCCCGCTTTTTCACGTGGCCTCCTACACGCAGGATTTTAATGTTTCGAGAACACCAAGATTAGCAGTTCTCGGCTTACGACTGGCTATCTGACGCTAGTTGATCGTTGTTCTCTGAGGAACAGATGGGTTTTTCAGCATATTAAAGTCTGAAATCAGATGAAAAAGCTAATCTCATTGACATGCTATCAAAACCCACGAAAATGCCATATGAATGGAATCAAATTCGAAGTGTTAATAAAATACCCGGACGAAGAATTGATACAAGAAACACGACTCAGTCGATTAAACCCTTATTCTTACTACAGAAAAGTAGAGAACATAAGCAACGAACTCACCACTTTACCTGTTTTCAATTCCAAAAATGCCTTTCTAGCTACATATGATTTGCCGGGCAGGGGTTTTGCACCACATCGATTGTTCGCAAAATACATTTATGTTTTCTTCCTAACATGGTTTGTGAATGTCACTAGCGCTCATTTTTGTTAACGTCGTACACACTCTAGGGCGCAAGCATTTGCCCCTAGTTGTACGCGGCATCCGTTTTGTTCTTCGCTTGTGTTATTCTTACTTCTGTTTACTCTCTTTATCCTGCTCTCCAGTCTGAATTGCAGCGCTTGATGATACATTCGGATTCTACAGTTAGTACCTTGGCTGTCAAACTTCTGCTACGCCTTCTCGGCCAATACCCACACCTGGCATCTGAGACAGTGGAGTCTACAGTTATTCCTTACTTATCAACAAAGTTGACAGATACCGAATCTCTCAGCACCGCAGTCCTAACAGCTTTACCAGATTTATGTTTGCTCGCACCACATTTGGGATCCAAGATTTTGCGAGTTTGCGGATGTCGTTTGCTTTCTGGACTTCTCGATGACTCGAGCTTTGCTCTTATAGCATCTGTGGAAGAGTCTGTCCGACAGCTAACTCTAGACGGCTTTGATGATGCGTCGATCGAACACGCGGCATCCGCCCTCGTCAGCCGAAGCAACGTTATTCGTGGAACTTAATCCTGCCTATGTTTGGCAGTTGGTGTGTACATATTTACACAGTTAGCCCAAGCATGCATGTACATAGCTTGCAACGATCATGCGGTTGCACTTTTGCCCCAAGTATGAAATAAAAGCACTTCCTTACCCCATACGTTCTGACGCTTTATAGTTTGATTGGATTTTCGTGTGCTCCTGCTAGCGTACTAAACACTCGACACTTAATTGTTGCACTTGATACACTCTCAGCTGTTAAATCTTCGTAGTGAACATGGAGCGTTTTGAAGCTTCCGCATTGCCCATCGTCTGGATAAGTGTCTAAGCATAGTCTCACAATGTTAACAGTTTGCATGTATACTCTATCATGACTACTTCTGAGGGACGAAATGTGGCCTCTACATCTGCTTCTCGTTTGAGATCCAAGGAGTCTGATCTAACTGTGATCGACATTATTCTCGAACCATGTGTGGCCATTTTGTTGCATCAAACAAAACTCGTCGCTGAACTGTTCTCTTTCATCTATTCCCGGTCTAACCGTAGTGGATATCAACTTGTTCATTCAAATGTCCCATATTGCTACTGTCCCGCTTTCCACAATCACCTTGTCATTCGTCTGCAATTCCGCATAGTCCGTCCTATTAATTGTCCACTACTCGATCTGGTTACCTGTCTTTCTTGGGATCAGTCTTTATTTTCGCTTGTAACCACACATATTGCTTTCTTACAAAACGAATTTCGTTGAACGGAAGCTGTAACCGATTCGCTAGACGATAGATCTTCTCGTTAGAGAGCATCCATTGTGAACTCCCACCTTGATTTCGCATCTCGAGTTGGATAACTGCGTCAATGACACTGCATCAAAAGAAGTGATGTGTATTTGCTGTTTATCTCTCAGATCTGCACTCAAAAATTTCTGCATCCTAGTATTTTTCTCGATCATATTTACCTGAAGTGCTCAAACAAAAGCAAACTTAGAGAAAACTTGATGCTTTGTCAAGTCCTTCGTACATATCTACTGCATTTGTAGTATGTAGACGAGCAGGACACTTCGTCTTGCTCCCACGAATGGATAGTCTGGTTTCTGAATATGACTACGTCTTCGGTGAGCTGTGTTGGACAAATTTATCAATTGATTATGTAAGGAACGCGATTTCATATCTCCATTAATGGGGATAGGGGTTGTTCATTCGAAATAATGGCCTCGGGGCAATTGATGGATTGTTTCCTGGTTGTGACCCATCGTTTTCGAATTCTGCAAGAAAAGTGACGCCAGTGTAATCGATTCAACTTACAGCCTCTATACGTCATTGTCAGGATTTCTCAAACTGAGAAAGTGCCATATTGTACTATTAATATGTATTCTTGTGTGTCTTTCCCTTTCGCGGCAACACGCGCAATGGGTTATGTTGAAAGCAAAATGTTCCAAACTATTGGAAGCGCATTCTTTGCTGCTGTTACCTCGTGCTACTCCGAGTTTGATCTAATAAGCTTTCGAAACTCTCATGGATCCTAAGACAGTAACGTCTTCTACATATTCATGGTGGTACTGGGCGTTCTTCCCCAATCTTCCCACCTATCCTCTACGCCGAGTGTTGCCATTGCTGTTTCACCGCCGTTAACTGTTATCATTTCAGTGCCCGAAGTTTAGTCATCTGCGTCAACTTCATCTCTTCTTCCGAGCTGTAATGCGGAATCGGAGCCCAATTTGTTTATATTTACAGCTAAATCATCCTTATAAGTCGCCATCAGATGGCTCCATGTCGTTTTTCCGATAAACTTGCGCAACTGTATGTACATGTACCTTCTCGATCCTAGAAGCGGCGATTGTCGTTGCTGCGGTATAATATAAACATTCGTTCTCGCGATTCGGGATTAATCTGTGGACAGACATCGCTTGATCCTGTGTTCGTTACGTTTGTCTCGATATTGTGTCTTTACTGTGGTCTCGATCCACTTAGTCGCAGCTGCTCATTCATTTTCTTCTAACTGTTTGAGATAGGCTACTGCGCTGTTCATCGGACACTGTGGTGCACTTCGCTTTTGTGTTAAATAGTTTGAACTTCCTGTTCTCTCCCATCATTGACGATGTGCGGACAAAAGTTAATGTTTTCCTGCGGCTTGTTCTCAATTTCATTCAATACTACCATTGGGTTCTCATGTTAGTGATCGGTGCGTTTCAGCATGCTTTGTCGCTTTTTTATCAAATGGGCGACAACTCACCTTCTGGAAAGAATAAGGTAAGATGGCGCATACCGATCTCCAATCCAATTAGACCTCAGTCAAATTCCCGTCTCTGGCGGATAAAGAAGAACGCCTTCGTCTCCTCCGTTTGCTTGTTCACTACGAAAATGACGTAAGCTCTGAAATATTTACTAATGTGATATGAATATTTTTGTGCTCAGCCTGACATGATGAAGCTGGAAGCGTTAACTCAAAAGTGGAATCGCGCAGCTCGAAAGGCGATTACCGAGTTACAACAGATAGCCGGGACCAAAGGTCTAGATCAATTTAGATCGATCAGCCGGTTTAGCGCCGATCCCGAACTGCTGAATGATGCCGGTTCAGACAGTGATGTTTAAGATTGCATTTGTCCGTGTCAAGTTTTCATCTTTCTCTTTGCGTTACAAATAAACGTTCTTGGAGCCGTTGTTTCTCTAGCAACGATAATTATCTACTGGATCGCTTTTTGTCCATTGAAAATAGAGATCAGCAGTACTCCGGTACGCAATACTGAAGCTTCGCTGCCGCGCAACCATCACCAATCGAACGCTGGCTAAAAATACTACGAGGGTTGCCTGGTCCATACGCAACCTTGAACCCGCGCCTTCGGATTAGCCAATTCAAGTCCAAATAGGCTTTATGCACCTGGGTGCTGATGATTTTCGTTGAGTCCACAAGTACGTTAAATAGAGTTGCGGTGAGAAGCCATAGGAGAAGGTAAGTGCCCGAATTTAGAGCGTGTAAAGGAAACAGATAGCGCTTTCGACAGCGCTTGATGCAGTGGATGAAAAGTGTCGTTTAGAACTTCGAAGGAATAGCTGGTTCAAGCATCTACATGCTTATTGACAATAAAATCAACATGTGTCTTTCTAGACAGTCCACTGTATCTAGAAATACGGTCTAACGAACGTGAGAATAATATTTACTATTTTTAGTAGCCCAGGAAAAATTACTGCGGAGCAGTAAAGCCAGTGAGGCGGAGTGCATGCCTTCGCAAATTCGAAGGTCAAATCACGAAGTACGGAAAGCATTCTAAGTCCGAGGTCATAAAAAGATAGCCTTCTAACCTTGTCAAATATTTCAGCGACATAAGATATTAAAACTCCAAGATATTTGACAGTCGATGTCCTGGGTATAAGTTGTGCACTTACTGCCAGTGACGAAGTGGCATTTGAAACTGCTTGGAACTAATCAGCCCGAAGAATAGAGAATGTTACCCAACAGCATTTAGAAGTGTTTAGAATGAGAGATCGGGTCGATGACGGCAGTGCAAACTCATCCAGACCACTCTGCAGATTAGTTGTCTCAACAATTGGAGATATACATCCTATAACGACATCATATGCATACTTGCATCCAACAAAGTTGGACGGTCTACAGAGGTCTTCGATATGTGAAGAAAACAGTGGAGAGAATCGCTCCTTGTAAAACACCATGATCGGAGCAGTGTGGTGGAATTTGTTCCCTTAAGCTGCGTGAAGTAGGTACGGTTTGTAAAGTAGTCTGTGATCACGCTGCAGACATCTGTATTTGCCCCACTCTTTAGCAGCTGGTTGAGTAGAATTGATCTGTTGGCGCTCCTAAAAAGCATCTGAATGGTCGATAAACAGCAGGCGCACTGCTCTGCAATTTTCATCCAGTACCGATGACACCGACTGTACAAGGTACGATGCAGCATTCAACTGGTCTACATCGTCTGCCTGGTTGCGCATGAAGATCCGAGGTACGAGCAGTTTCTCAGACTTTCAACATCACCGACACATCTAGTCGGACGATAGCTTTGAGATTACCACTCGGGCACAGGACTCCAGATGTCAGGGATTGTGCTATTCTTAAGACAGCGGTTAAGGGTTACCATGAAATAATCCACGCACTCTTTTATGGCTAGTGGGGATAATGCATCAGGTCCATCGGTTCTAATAATCTCCGATTTTTTGAGTTTCTTGTAAGCATCCAAGTGATCAAGGGTAACTGTGAGACCAGTATTGAGGAAGGAAGGTAGGGAAGAACAAAATTCGGCATTGATTCTGTCCACAAGACCCTTCAGGGAACTTTTGCCGCACAGCTGCTTTAAAAGCCTCTAAAGATCATGATAATCGTGACTAACAAAGTTTCAATGTACAAATTATTCAGTAGCATTACCTCTGATTTTATTACCGACCTTAGTCGTTTAACTTTGGCAGACATTTTGAATTTATATGCCCGTTCTTTCTTTCGCCTAAGTTACTTCAGTAGTGGTGAACAGAACCTGTCCACGCATGGGTAACTAATTTCAACGTGGCAGCATAGATCAAAGCAGGTTGATATATTCGGTAACGTGTTCGCACTCCAACGGTAGGTTTTCATCCGTGAAAACTGAAAGTCAGTTAAAGCCATCATCGGATGAAGTTTTGCAAGATTTTCTTTTGAGAAGTCTCGCCGTATGATGGTTTTGAAGAGCTTTTTTGTCAGACACAAGTTTGGTCTTGCCGTAAATAATTGCGCAAATCTTCAGGACACAGTGGTCTAGGCTACCGAGATGTGCTCGCTTTAAAATATAAAATAAATGGATTTTATTCGTGAAAACAAAATCCAACTGCATCGAGTCTGGTTACGAAAGATACCGTAATTTTTAGACCAAATGTCTTGATGAGTGTCGTATCACATTTATTATTATTTTAGGTAGTAACGCTGGTGAGAAATGATTAGCAAAATTTTGGAGCTCAGTCGATGGCATGTCGGGGACCATGTAGATATTTCCGATGACGACGGAAAGGAATCCACTCAAAAATTTCGGTTTACACTCGGTTAAATGACAGATGATTTTTGATGTTTGATATGTAGAGAGCAAGGTAACCGGATTACACCGTAATGCGTTCACATAAATGACAATGTATCCTCCGCCATTCGTCGGCATTCCAGGGCGGTTGGACCTTACGACGCGGTATCCTTCTAGTTGAATAACTTCATCGTCCACATCAGGATGTAACCAACTTTCTTGTACCATTACAATACCCGCGTTCGCATATTCCTTACGCTGCACAGTGGCATTGGTTTAGGCAATTTTGCCAAGTAGAGAACGCACATTGCTAGAGATAGAGGAATTTGCGCTTTATTAATTGGACAGCGTTCGACTCCGGCTTGGCAGTCAGTACCGTGCTTTCTCATTTTGCCAAAGCCTTGTTTTAAAATTTGTACGATGGGGTTTATGACTTCGTGACCGCATGCGACAAAAGGCGCGTTTTTCGCAGCGTCTCTGAACAATTTCAAAAAGTCGGTAGAGTGAGACAGCATCACTAACTTCAGAGTGATCCAGATAAACGAAAATGCGGGAACAGCAAGACATAATTGATAAATACGCAGTAGATAGCGTTAAAATAGTACTCCGAGGAGAAAACAGCAACGGCAGATTTGAAGTCCACATTTTTGCGAGGCAGGCTTGTGATCCTTAAGTCTACGGTCGACCGAAGGCATCAGCAGTACACCGGTATGCAGTACCGACGCTTCGCTGCCGCGCAACCACTAGCAGTCGCACGTGGGCTAAAGATATTGCGAGGGTCACGCGGTCCCTACGCAGGGTCAAACCCCGTACCCTCAGACTACAACTCAGGCTTTTGATCCTTAAGACTACGGGCAGCCACTGAAAAGTCATTGATACAATCGAAGCTAAGCACTGAAAATTTCATTTAGACACCGCATTCTTGTAGGCGACACAGCGCTTAGTTATCGAGAGAACGCAGTGTGAGAGCTAGTGTCGTACGCTGGCCTACTTAACACAATGTGTGGACGGTAAAAGAAACGAGTAGAAATAAGGCGTTTGGTCTGAAGGCTTTCAAGTCATGAATAGACCTTTCTAGTTGGTCTTGAAAGAGAATAATTAGCGAAATAGGAACACATAAGGATAATTATCGACTGTTCGCTGCGACGGTGAATTTTGTTCCAGTCTCAGCCTAAGTCTTTAACTCGATATTCCTAACTACAACGGAGCATTTAATCTCGAGTTTTTTTATTACAGACTGCCGCTTCGATCTGCTTGAAGTCGCCATAGTGCTAGACATTCTGTAATCATTTGTGACAGCACCTATCAAGTACCATCAGAGCAGATGGTTAGGTGCTAAACTCAGCTACAATTTTATTACAGGTTGATGGTAGTTAGATACCCATATCCCTCTAAGCGTTGCTGTGGGAGAACAGTGTAAAATGTATATATGCTCAGCTCTGTATTTAACTAGAATTGACGTTTCGGACTGTCTCGAACAGTACAACTTCCACTCACTGTTTTGCTTCCTTTCACCCTAAGCCAGCTTATAGGATTGACTGCGAACTGCCTTAAGCGGAATGGGCAGTTGTATCACACGACGGAGCTAGGCTAACGCCCTACCTTCTAATACTAGTAACAAGCCTATTCCCCGATCTTGCGGAATCTGGTTACGAAATGGATGAGGACGCAGTGACCAATGGTCAAGCTGCGTTGGACCACGTTACCAGCTCCAAGACTGATGCATCCTTTCTTGATTGGATTGCCGCGAGCACACATTCGTATACAGTCCGCTGGACGACATCGACTGCGGTTGATTCACGAAGTAATACTAGACAGCAGTTCTGATGCTGCCAAGGACGCCTTCTACCAAGTGCTGAACACGCTGCAGCACGATGTTACTAGTTCATATGTCGTTGTTAGTACAGGTGATGTGAATGCGCGACCAGGTCGTCTGTGCTCTTCTTCATAAGCTCAGCTAGGTGCTAGATATGGATCTAATTCCTATCGGAGGGACATCGGCGAGTATCTGTTGCAACATTACGCAGAGCGCCGGATGTTTCTTAGTAGCACCGTTTTTCGACATAGTGGGCGCCGAATTGTCACTTGGGGTCCTTCGGTGGCTGACCATTGATGAACCCAAATTGAACACGTTATCGTAAGTTACAGGTGGTGCGGTTCTATGCTGGGTTGCCGTTCGTTCTGAAGTACTTGCGTCGAATCTGATCATGCTTTGGTACTATGTCGTTTTTCCATGAACTGCAGATAAGCGTACCGAACAGCTCCCTGGATTGGCAATTAAGAAATCATCTCAGGTAAGCCTATCAAGATAGCCTGCTCTCGTCTTAATGACATACCTTCAGTGGTATAGGGTCTCGGTCGCCATGCACGATGCGGAGGTCTCTGCGTGCGGCACTATCGATCGCCACTGCACCAGTCACTGGATATCCGAGAGATCGATGAACCTGTTAGAGTACAGAATAAAACTCTAGGTTGGCTCTGAACACAATGCCTCCAGACGGATTAGTGGGTGCGAACTAACTCGGAGCCTACGTGCTTATAAGGAACCCTGGTGGACCAGTAGGTCAGAAGTGCACGATTCGGGAGCAGTAAGCTCTTTCAGCTACTCCTCACCACTGGTCCCAGAAAACCAGGCGTCTGCGCGACACTCATAAACAGTGCGAGTTACCAGTCCAGCTCATCTAAAGGACTAAGATCTGCG